GCGAATAACTCAAAAAGTACACATTTTTTTATTGATAACACCAATGTTTATTTGAAAGTTTCCTGAATTCCCTACAAAATAAAAATAAAATAATCATCGAAATCGGACTATTTGTTGCAGAGATATGTCATTTTAAACATTCAGTACTTTTTCTTTTGAAAATTCCATTTCCTTTATTTTGTTTTTTGATAAATCGAAAACTTTTCATTACTGAGGTAATTGGGTCTATTATTTGAAGAGATGATATCATGTAATGTTAGTGGAATGATACCTAATAAATTAAATTTAAAAATATATTCTATAGTTATACTCATTGTTAACTTGAATACTGCACAAGCATTAGTTAATGGAACAGGAATGAGACTGAAGTATTAACGGGGGCTACTTTAAATAAAAGAATTTTAATTCAAAGAATTAATTTAACATTTTCTGACAGTATACTTACATTCGACTTTCAAACAACAACGTTCCTATTAATAACTGCATTTGCTATGACCATAATCAAATCGCAGGATAAAAGTTTTGGAAAAATGTGTGTATTATTGTAATGTCCAGTAATTTCACATGGACAATTATATGTGGCAGCAATTAGAGCATATTCATTTAAAATATTGAAATTTATATTTTCATTGGCAATGGGCATGGCTATGCACTAAACAATAACATACCATTCAAAAAGAACATTATTTACATAGAAGTTCTAAATAAAATGGATTTAAAGTGAATTTAATTTAAATCCATTAATATATATATATATATATATATATATATATATATATATATATATATATATATATATATATATATATATATATATATATATGAAACGATAATTACATTGGAAGAAAAAGAAAGATGCTACTACCTATATGAAATGTTGTTTAAGTGATTCTTTAAATCCTATTAAATGTAATTATGTGAAAAATAATACTTTTAGATATAGCTTGTTAACATTTGTTTCAAAAGTCATGGTTATATTTTACCATTTTGGAAGGGAGGAGGAGGAGCTTCAGTCCAAAAGCTTCCCCTCCATAGATCCTGTACAACAGTAATATAAGTGATCTTTATGTTTTGAAGATGAGGACACTCTAAAAATATCAATTTTCAGTGGAATAAACGTGATTTTCGTTGAAAAAACCCTTAAATATCATAGTCAACAAGCTGTGGATGTGGGATTGGACTAAACTACATATATCCTCCACAATTACTGATGTACCCTCCAAGGAAACTTTGTATAATGATGTAAATGAAAGATCTTAATAATAAAATATTTTCAAAATATTACATCATCGGTTTTTTGAAGCCTTGATAATTTCTTCTGAATTTCTGAACCAACAGTAATTAGTACTACAAATCCGGAAATTGTCTGAAGAATTACTGACTTAATTTAGTATTTTTTATCCATAATTCAAAACAATTTTGATATTTACCAATACAATTTTATTTCAAGCAAATATCTAAAAAACAATCTGGTGCAAGCAACACCAAACTTTCACTTACCGCTCTACTTTGAATAAAAATTATTTTCTGGCAAAGTTGAGCAATTATAGACTCTTTGAACTGCATTTTTAACGGAGCTACAGCTTAAAGCTTACAGCTAACAAATCATTAAGACCATTATAACATCAAAAACCCTATTAATTATATCAATAGTAAGCAGTGAAAACCTGGGTACTCCATTTGTTTTTATAAACCACATAAATCCAGCTATATATCTACGTAAAGGCCTAGAGAGATTTGAAAGTGTATCTGCATATTCAGCCTATGAATGATTATGGATTGTACGCGTATTAGTTCTTATTAAACGTTATTTTCCATTGTGAAGTTTACTAAAATGAAATTACGAGATTTTTATTGCCTGCCATGGATAGGTCAAAAGTTTTCACACTAATTTTAAGTGAATAATGTTGAGATTTTACAAATAGAAAATTCATCAAATTATTCACTAATTTAATTTTTTAAAAGGTTACAAAAAGATTTTTCGAAATAAACGGACGTTGATACCTAATTAATTAAATATAATATCAGAAATAGAATTATTAAACTACAGTAAATGTATTTAAGATTATAAACATATCCATGAAATATTTTTGTATTTCACTCCTTTTTTCACACAAGTACAATGAAATAGTATTTTAAACAATGGCATCGACTTGATTCGGTAGATTTTAAATACTTTTTTTAAACTTAGAAAAAATTTAAAAGTTTACATTTAGTAAGAAAATTTCATTTAATATCCTTGGAAACTTGTGATTTACGTTAGTAATGTTAGTTTTCTGAAATTATTATTTATATTTTTTTCATCACTATCCGTCACATTCTACAACTTTATTTATTTGATATTATTATTTCTAAAATTCGCCTTCCAATGATACATTATAGGTATATCTTCTGCTTTTATTTCAGGAGATTCATTTTCAATCTGGATAACCATTTTTCTTTTTTTCACCAGTTTCCAATTATGATATTCTTTCAAACTTCATATTTAGCCATTTTTTATAACTACTGTCAATAAAAGAGAATTATTTTCTTTAAATAAACCATATTAAAGATACTTTAGAGGACGACGTATATGAACATTAGACATTTGAGCCCTGTAAAGTGACATCAATGGGGATAAATGATATTAAAAACTACTTAATTATACCATGATACACCGAGTTCAATCAAAATCGTTAATCGTTTTTTGAGAAAAATGTGTTTCACTGTTGATATAAAATGGCACTTCCGGTAGTCGATTTTGATGAAAAAGTTACTGTAACATCTGAAGTATATAAAAACCTTAAATATGCAATTTCACTTTCATATGGCTTTCCAATTTTGAGCTAGACTGTTCACATACATACATACACACACACACACACACCCAGACCATTTTGGGTTACTTGGTTATTTGGACTATGGAGACCTCAAAACATGTATTTCCTTTGAAAATTTAGATTCGAAAATTTTCATGATCACAGTATTTTTTTTTTATCCCATTACCTGGCATTGCTGACATATGGGGTTTTGGCAGGAGTGAGTCAATATGTTTGGGTCCTCCTGTGCCCATTGCTGCCAATAAACACTTTATTATAATCATTTATTTTTTACATTATTTTAAGAAAATTTGAATTTTTGGAACAATCATAAACTGGGTTAACTGTGGAAGACACAACTAACATATATTCATGTATATAGAAATGTTTTTATTAATAAATATGACAATTACCCACATTTAAGGGAAATTATTAATAGTGATAATAGTAAATGAAAAGAAATATAGTAAAATAAGTAAATATAATGAAATAAAAATAAATAATGAAAACTTCATAATTTAAAAAAAAAAAAGTTGAAATGTAAACATTATAAATACAGCCCATCATAAGTACAATGTTTAAAAATCAATAAGCGAATTCTGGACCAACCTAGTTCTCTCCATGATGGACAGTAAAGCAGGACTCCAGGAATTCCAGTGCTTCTCCCTCAACCACATCATAGGTTATAATGTGTAGATAGATATAATAATGTATAAGAAAACATTAAATACAACTTTTGTCAAAAAAAGAGGTTACAACAGAAAGACAAGACCTAAACTATGTAAAGGTGGGTTGTGTTGAATTATTTGGTTAGATGTAGTTCATAATTTATCAACCTTATAAACTCCAACAAAGATAGAAAGGATGAAATTTGTGTGGAAACTTTAAAAGTTTAAAACTAATACTTATAACAGATTTTAAAACTCCATACTATAAATGACTACTTGAAACATCAGAGGAGTTCCACAGTAATCTCCACAAATCATCTTGACAACTTGTGTAAGCGGTTAAGAGGACGGGATGGCCGAGCACTCTGGGACCCACGACCCCAATGTGCTTGACCATCCCGTCCTCTTAACCGCTTACATTACACAAGTTGTCAAGATGATTTGTGGAGATTACTGGGGTGATGGACGTTGGGGTCATGGGTCCCAGAGTGCTCGGTTCTAAATGTTCGATTCACATGTGGGTCGATTACTTGGCCCTTCCCACTCTGGCAAGTACCCGGCGGCAACCTTAAAGGTAACCGTCAGGGGTAGGCAAAAAGGACCACTATAGGCCCACTTGCTGGACTAGTTCCTCCCCACCCAGTACCATTATCAGTACCAGTGAAAGTGGTTAACTCAATTAAATTACACTAGTTACATTTTCTACATCCTAAAATTAAAAAATAAGTCTGCCAAGTAAGGTCAGAATAGCTTCCTCACCGTTTTCATAGGCCATACAATTATATATATTTCAAGGTATATATTTTTTCATTTGAGAATAAATCTTCGAAAGAAGCTCTTGTCAGAAATACAGTGTTCCTTCAACATTTGTAGTTTTGATATCCATGAGTATTGTTCATCATTGAATACAAAAATGCAGAAGTTACACCTTTACGAATGGCATACTTGACTATTAAAATAATTTATATTGGATGGAATTTAGTGAAACGGTATGGGACCAACCTACACAATTCCTAATAATTTCATGAAAATCAGACAAATGGTAGTAAGTGATATGCCCATCACATCGATTTTACAACAGACATCGCTTATGACCTGGATGTCTTGCGCCTAGACATCGAAACAACAGACAGACACCAATCCAAATTTGGTCCTTGATGTCTGAAATGTATAACAAAATTGGAAATTGAAGAGAAGGATGGTTGGGGTATTCAGTCAAATTGAAATGGCAAAAAATAAATAATTTTATTTATTTTTACATTCGCCGACGTTTCGGCCCAAAGTTCAGGCCTTCATCGGGGCTGTGAAAATATCCAACTTCAGGCCGAAACGTCGGCGAATGTAAAAATAAATAAAATTATTTATTTTTTACCATTTCAATTTGACTGAACAACAACCCAACCATCCTTCTCTTCAATTATTCACTACAGTCAAACATAAATCCACAATTAAGAGTGGAAATTAACCTCCCGCATGAATACAAAGCTTCCCTACATTCTGTAATTATGAAGCAAAATAAATAAGAATACTTTTTCGAAGGATTAAAAAAAAAAATTTATTTACACTATATTTTTAGCGATCAGTGTGCCAGCCACACAAACATTAGGAAATCATTGATCATTTTTTCCCACTGATCCTGATAATGTGTAAGATGTTTTCATATAATTAATATGGGACTGTATATTTCGGATCCTCCGTTGTGCTTGTTCCAAATTTTCATTGAGTTGTATTATCTGAGCTTGCATCCTGTTTCGAATCTGTAATGCATATTTCAAATCAGATTTCATAACAATGAATAGAGGAAAATTTTGAGTAATGACTTAATTTACAGGACTGATTAAGTCATCTAGTAGTATCTAAACTAGAAATACTTTATTCAGCAAAATCCTTGAAGCTTTTGCAGAAATCTAAAATATATTTACAATAAAATATTCAGGAAGCTTAGATTTCAGCGAGGTGAGAAAAGGTCACTTCAGGTAGACATTCATGAGATAAGTAGTTCAAATGGAATATTTTGTAAGTTTAAAGGTTTATTAATTTAAATAATATCATTCACAACTGAGGGCCTTGATACAACAATCAGAAACCAAATTTTTTAATTCCATTTTGTCTATTAAGTATGTCTTCATAGCAATATAGCATGTGATGTTTCTAATGTTGTCCTTGTAACATATATATAGCTGTAACACACATAAATTTATTAATTAATCTTAAAATTTTCATTTAGAGGCTTGAGCATTTGATTATTTCTGTGAAAAAGATGTCATAGATAGATGAATGAGAAACAAAAGTTCTGTTACACTTATACTTAAAATATACTTTTGCATAATTTTACTATTAATTTATAAAATTATATAATCAAAAAATTACTTCATCTCTCTCCTCAAAAGCTGTTTTCTGTGATGCTCTTGTGGATGCAAGATGCTTCTCCAAATCAGCAATCTGGTCCTGTAAAGTACGTCTTGTTTTGTCAAACATGTCCTTAGCCTTGGCAATCTGTCTAGCTGATTGCTGCCGAAGAGTTTCCAGTTGATTCTGAAGATCTTTTGTTTCTTCAAATGATTCTTCATATTTTCTTTCATTCATCAAAGCAATTTCCTCAATACGAGCAATAGAAAGCCTGGCTAACATTTTTTATTAATACTAAATTATAGTATAGTAACCTATCCCAATCCTATTCAATAAATATAACATTTTACTACACATCTATTTTTTGTATTTGTGAATTATTTTCTATATATTTACAATTTAAAATTTAGTATTGTAATTTAGAATTTTGATATATTTATGAATGTTGTATCTTAGTTATGAATGTATGTATGTATATAGTGGATTAATAATTGAATGTTATACATATATTGATGAGAAGTAAGTTAGAGTGTTCAGTCAAACAAATAATGAAGTAAAAATAGATAAATTATATTAATTTTTATTTTTGCTGACATTTTAGCCCAATATTCAGGTCTTCATCGGGGCTAAGAAAAGACGAGATAACATTGATATGAGAAACAAGTAGGCTGTAAAAGTAAAACATTTATGTAAAATTAATATGTCCACTAGTAATAAAATACTAATAAAAGTATGTAACAAAAGTAATAAAAATATTTTAAAAAGTAATAAAATACTTTTATGTAAAAGTAATATGTCTACTAGTTTCTCATATCTATTCCATTCTTAGCCCTGATGAAGGCCTGAACCTTGGGCCAAAACCTCAGTAAAAATAAAAATAAACATAATTTGTGTATATTTACTTTGTTATTTGTTTGACTGAACATCCCTACCAACTTCCCTTCAATATTTATAAATATGTACCATCTAAAGTGGCATCCTTTGTTATAAGTTGATATTTTTAATAAAATTAATACACCAATAAATTTTACAATATAAACCAAGTTAAATGAAAAAGTTATAATTAAAATTATAAAATAAAATCATTTTTTAAAAATCTGGTACAGTGTGCTTATCACACAACTTTCACTTTCCTCCTACTTTGAGTAGAAATAGGTATTCTCGTTTTAAGCGGAGTGCAAGTAAAATTTATGGAAGGTGCAAAATACTCATTTAAAAACATTAATCATCATATGTTTTACATATCTGACATATCATACACATATCATATCATATACATATCATCCACACATATACTATCAGAGTCTGCAAATGCCTTGCCTACGATATAGCATATTATGCACGCTTGCAAGAAATCATGAACAGGAATAAATTCTAACCCAACGCACACTATTATACAAAACTTGTTTTGTTTTTTGTTTTTTTGGACTCGGGGAGACCTCAAAATGTGTATTTCTGTCAAAAGTTGAATTCAAAATTTTTCACAATCACATTCACTCTTACTAATGTAGGTAAGCAAAAGTAAAAACTAGATTTAAATTTTTTTTCTTACAAATATACCATTAAGGAAAGTATGATCACATTCAATAAAAAACAAAATAATTGCATTGAATCAAATCTTTTTTATTAATCAAGTTTTATTTTTTTAATTCTAATAACATTTTGAATAAGTTAATTAATTCTTCAAGAGATTCTAAGAAATGGAATTCATAATTCATGCAATAGGCTCTCAAAAGAGTTTTGACTTGAATTACAGATTGGCTTTCTAAACATTGAATTGAACAATTGTTTAAGATGTTGACCAGCAGTTAGCAAAAAAGTAGCAACTTTTTGTCTCTCATTATTTTATCGAACACATACTTAAACTGCGGACAAAAATCGAAATTATGTATAAATCTAATCAAAATTAAATTAATTATTTTTTTACTCAGATTTAGTATTGAGATGAAATCATTATTCGTTTACACTTGAATAAGATATTTTTGTTTGCAAACACAGTTTTTGTCTTGTAGATGAGGTTTAATGGTTTAAATTCCTGAAGTCCATAATTTTTTTTCAATCTAATACATATACATAATAAAATGTGAAAAAATATATAAAAAGCAAAACCGAATACTAACTTCAAATTTTTATTTTCTGTTTTTGTCTCTTCCATTTTTTTTTCAACATCAGTTTTAAAATTTTTCATTGAAGACTTTTCAGCTTCACTCTCAGTTCTATTTCTATTTACCATTTCTAGCTGTTCTTTATATGCCTCTTTCTAAATATGGTAACATAATTAAAAAATAAAGGATAGAAAATATTTAGAAATGAGTCTGAGCATCCTCTCAGCTCTAGTTACTAAAAATAATTAAGTGTTAGTAATGGGATAGGCCATAAAAAATATTTGATTTAGTTTGGAAATTTTAACTACTAATAGAGGATTTATTGGTTTTTCAAATTTAATTAAGATCGATACCACCCTCCCTCTCCATCATCATATCATGATCAATAATTAGCACCAAAACTGATATTAAAAATGTGAGAAGCTGCAATGGATCAGATTTTCAAAGTAATTATTTTCGGGTAGAATGAGATACAAACAGTACCAGCCTTAAACATTCAGCGCCCTCGGGCAATGATATCATATCCCCTACCCCTAAAAAAATTAAATTGATCCCTTAAGCTATTTTATGTTATTTAATAATTTAATTTGATTTCATTCAATATTTCTGTAATACAGTTACTTTATCGGTTGGCTAAAGTTAATTATTTTAATACGTTAGTATATTTTTTTAATTTTAACAAGAAGCGAGAGCCTCTTAAGATGGGCCGTCATCTCCAATGGGCGCAGACCTGAAGGCAATTGCTCTGGTTACTCCATCCTAAGGCCGGCACTGGATACAAATAATAAACATCAAAACAAGAGAGAAACAAAGAAAGCCAACAGTCAATATAACGTAGAGAACCTACAAAATTCAGAGAAACAAAGGAAGATAGAGGAAACAGTTGTAACAAGAGTGTTGGATACTGCTTTAAGAGAGTGACATTGAGTAAGAACCTGGCCACTGAGACTGAATAACATTAAAGTAAGGCAGGAATATCAGCTGGTAATAGGTGCTGTTGGTCTCTAATAAAAATATTTTAAAATCAGAACATATCCAGAGCTCTTAAAATAAGAGTCTACAGAATAGTCCTAGTAGCAGTTATTTATAGATACAAGTCCTAAACATTGAAACTTCATGATGAAAGTCGGGTAAACATGTGGGGAAGAAAAAATCATAGATCTCTCACTGGTGGCTGAAGACAAATGAAGAGCTGAGGAGCTTACAGGGACAGAATAGGATGACTTGTGCATGTACAAATAATGGAATATGATAAGCTTTCTATAATGGTGATGGAGGTCCCTCATCAACTATATGTCCATAAGTGTGGAGCAGAAAGAGAACTAAACATAGACTTTGTTGGCTGTAGAACGAGAGAGGCCAATCTATGCTCTTAAAATGATGGAGAAGAAAGATAAGAAGGGGTGTTGAAGATAGAGAACTAGGAACATGTCTAAGTGGAGAAGGATTATTGAGGAGGCCAAGGTTTATAGCGCTATCGAATGATGATGATGATAATGATAGAGAATCAGGAATGTGATTTAGGAATTGTAAGGAAAATGTTACACTCACTGTTGGTGGTTGTAACGAGCCATGATTAGAACAAGACCACAACACTACGTGCTTCATTGGTGTTGTCAAACTAAGTAGTATATATATATATATATTTATATATATATATATATATATATATATATATATATATATATATATATATATATATATATATTTTATTAGTATATATATACTAATATTTTCTCTATATATAATTTAATAGCTTCAATAAAATAAAAAAATTGTAATATGAGCTAAAATATTTTTAAAAATAATTTGCAAGTTTAGCATTTAAAATTTAAGCAATTACAAAATAATGCTACAAATATTTTTTTAAAAATAATATTTCCAATTAATCCCATTTTAACCTACCTCTTCATTGGCATCATCTAAAGACATAGATAAAAGGACGCAGTTCTTTTCAACAGTTGTTTTTAGTTCTTCAGTTTCTTTAAGTTTTTCATTTGTCTTATTAATCAAGTCAGGGAGTAATGTCAATTCTTCTAATTTTGATTGAAATTGGGTCTTTAAAAAAAAAAAAAAAGATTAAGAGTTAAAGAAAATATCAAAGCAGTAACACAACCTTTAGCTTAATAAATTAATTTCATAACTTTGTACAATATTGATAAATATGGGTGAAAGCATAGCCCAAACAAGCATATACACTTCATTTACATTTCTATATGAAACAAAAATGGTTGGGTACAGGCGTAAAATTTTTAAACAAATTATTTTAAACTTAAACTTAAACTTTTAATTTACATTTCTTGTTATTTCTTAAATAACAGCTAAGTTTGGTATTTAAGTACAATATTAATAATAAAAATAATATTAGACAGTGTATTAAACCCAAAGGCTTGATGCCAATTCTATCAATCGCTGCCTAGGTATATGCTGCATCTGAATTCTAATCTGAAGGTCATCCTTAAAAAATCCCCAAAAGTTAATCAGTCAAATCAACAGCAATTAACTTTTTAAGGACTAGTTTTTAAACCTTACAAATAAACCTATAACTTGCAATGCATATATTAACTATAGTATCATTTTTACTATATTAACGGAATAGAATTTTACCTGATTCTTTAGCCATTGTTTCAAAAACAATGAATGCCACTTTTAATTTCTGCTCAGGGCTTACCATAATATAAAGTCATTGTTGTACTTAGGTTAATCACCAACAATCATATTTCATATACTCAGACAATTCTATTCCTTTATACAGAGAATGATTCATTTAAAAATTTGCTCCATTTCTTGAGTAATCAATCCTAGATAAAAATTGAAAAAATCTGTTGCTGTGCAGGCATCACACAACTTTCACTTTCCTCCCTTTTTTACTTTCTTACCTATACTAGGTAAGGAAAGTATTGCAATCGGGTCAAATTTCCGACATGCGGTTTTCGACGGATCTATACGTTTCAGAACACCCTGAGTCCGAAAAACATTTTTAGCCATTGGTCTGTCTGTCTGTGCCAAGATTTTCTCGAGAGCTACTGAACCGATTTTGTTGCTTATTTTTTTATTTTGTAGGGTTTTGACTACCGATGCCTGTGACAGAAATTCGGTGCTCCATGCGCAATAGCTTGCGCGCAATAAGTGAAAAAGATGTTTTTCTATAGATTATAGCGCGAAAACGGCTCTAGCGATTTTGACATTTTGGACAACTATTAACGAAGTTACGGCTATTCCAATGTAAGATTACATTTTCATATCCTGGTGTCAGAAAGGGGTGAATGAGAGAATAATGATGACTAAGTGAATGTAAGAAAAATCCGATCACACAATCTTCACTATTTCCTCTACATTTAACAGAAATTAACTACCTTAAGTCGGTTTACATTGCTTTAATTTATCAAATAAATCGTACTCAAATCTTATGTTAGATCAATTTTCAGGAAAATTTATCTAGTTCAATTCTTTTTTGTTTCTTCATGAACATATGTAAAGATATAAAAACTTTTCTGAAATAGGTAGGAAAGTCGTGTGAGTGGACACAACAGATTTTTATATAGCAGAAATGGCTATTTGCAAACAAAGGGAAATGAAAGTAAAAATTATAGACGGTACGAAATATTATTAACGAAGCATATCAAGAAAAAAGTGAAATAAAAATATTTAAAAAACTAATAATTTATATACCTATTTATAACAACATCTATTTACAATTTTATGGAGACTGAATGGATAAGAGATGATTGAACTGGCGGGATTTAAAGGTGAAGAGTGTATTAGAGTGACGGGTGTAGAAAGTGATAGAATTCCATGTCAATAAGGATTCCAGGAAATATTTACGATGGTAGGAAGGATAAAGCTATGTCAGCTCCTCATAAAAATAGGAGACAGAGGTATATTTTGGGATCCTGAAGATGAATCGTACAAATACATTTCATTACCACAGTGTGTACTTTTACCATTAATTTAAGGTATTTATATATTATGGTTAGTATAATTGTCCCAAGGTTCTAATTATTATAAACTTAATTGTAAAAGAATAAATAAAATACTAAAAGAAAGAAGAAACAACTACAAAAATGAACCATTTGCTTCTATGTCTATTAAAATGTATTAATAAAATGAAATTTACTAAGATAAATTAAGAACCATTCTACCTTAATCTTCTGTAGCTCAGTAGTCACCTCATCTCCATATCTTATTCTTTCAGAATCCAATATTTCTATTCGATGCCTCTGTTCCTCAGCACACTGTTCAGTATCCAGGTACTAAAATAATTTTACCAAATATTTCATCAATTATTAAATTTAGTAAAATAAAATAGTATCCTAAATTAATTTCCCACATGCCTAATAACAGAGGTGAGCATACTCTCGGTAAATCACAGTGTTTTGAGTGGTTTAAAAAATTCGAAATTGTCAATTTTGACATGACAAATAAAGAACATGGAACATGGATGATCTATTATGAGCAACTAAAACCTGATGAAACCATTAATATTGAACAATTCACAAAACACTAACTTGCCACAGCATTTTTGTATTTTATCAAAAGAAAAACGCAGAGCAAGATCGAAGTGGCATTGAACAAGATACCCAACACATAAAGCGTATTACACCCAACTGTCTAACAAACTAAAATCAGAAATTAGAGAATACAAAAGCCAAAATTTAATAAATTTTACTGAAAAACTTATACCTACTGACAAATCATTATGGATGACCACTAAAAGGCTCTTAAAATTTAAAGACTGTAACCATCCATTACTTACTGAAGCCCAAACCTGGTCCAAATCTGATGAAGAAAAATCCCTAATATTTGCTCACTACCTCTTCAAAACCATTAATCCATATCCCAATATGCTTAACCCAAATCACCTTGAATGTATTGAAGTAGAACTGGATATACCACTCCAAATGTCTCTTCTACCTAAAGCCTTTCATCCTTCAGAAATATCCAACATTATTCACAGGTTATCTTTCTGCAAAGCTCCTTGACATGACCTAATTACATCTCAGATCCTAAAACTACTTCCTCGGAAAGCCATTCTATTCCTTACTTACATATATAATGTTGTACTCCGATCCACATATTTTCCTGACCCTTGGAAACTATCCATTATCAAAATGATACATAAACCCAAAAAGCCACCAGAATACCCATCCTCTTACCGTCCTATCTCTCTTTTACCCATCATGAGCAAAGTCCTGAAAAAACTCATCCTTAAATGCCTGTATCCAATCCTAGATTCTAATCAAATAATCCCAGATCACCAGTTTGGATTCCGCAGATCCCATTCCACTATCCAGCATTGCCATCGTGTGGTGGATGTTGTCTGCTCTGCATTAGAGCGCAGAATGTACTGCACGGGAGTCTTTCTTGATGTAGAACAGGCTTTTGATCGAGTCTGGCACCCGGAACTGCTTTACAAACTCTGTAAATTCCTAAATCCTACATACTACCTCATTATCTGTTCCTACCTAACTGATAGATACTTCAAAGTAAACCACAATAATGCTTATTCATTCCTCTTTTCCCAGTCCGCTGGTGTTCCCCAAGGTATTATCCTAGGTCCTATCCTTTACACAGTTTATACAACTGACATCCCAACCCATCCTAACACTGTTATTACTACGTATGCTGATGATACATGTGTCCTATTCGTTAATAATGACCCAACCATTGCATCATCACAAACCTTGAAGAATAGTGTCAAAACTGGAAGATTAAAATAAATCTCATCAAATCACCTTTACCCTTCACTGTAAACCTATGACTTCCTGTCCTACAGTATCCTTTAATAATATCCCACTTATCCCTGTTGAACAAATCTGATACCTAGGACTCCACTTGGAACGTCTAACTTGGAATCCTCATACCAGACTGAAATGACAAGAAACCGCTTGACATTTCCGACTACTCCAACACTTACTAGACAAACGATCTAAGCTTGCAGTTAATTACAAAAGACTCATATACATGACTACAATAAGACCTATTTGGACTTATGGAGTTGAGCTTTAGGGCTCCACTAAGCCATTGAATTCCTCTCGTATCCAATCCTTACAATCCAAAATCCTTCGAATGATCCTCAATGCTCCTTCCTTTGTCACCAATAAAATAATCTATCTGATTTGGCCCAATCCTTCCATAATAAACTTCAGGACCATCCGAATCCTCTCGTCTCTAGCCTTGCTTCCACTTCTATCCCTGATAATCCTCCAAGGGGTCTGAAAAGAAGATGGCCTCGAAATCTCCTATTGTAAATACATTTTTTTTAGAGTGTTACCAGTGGGTAGTTTCTCACCAAGTGATTTCCTGTTATCAAATTTAATAAATGTATTCTATTTATTAATACAGTCATAAATATCACAAATTTAAAAAATCCAGTATTGCATGAAAATGACCATTATATCAAAAAAGACAACAAAAGGTGATCTTCCTTCATGGTTATACTTAATCACACACAGAAAAACCAGTGAAAGAAATGATTGAGGTATTCAGTTGGGAAATATTAGCAAATAATAGACTTAGCCCAGTACGACTACTATTTATTTGCATTGAAGGGCACACATTTGCTACATGCATGAATTTCCAGAGAGAGAGACAGGGAAAATGTACAGCTAGTGATGGACAATATTTTGAATAAAATATTTGTTCACATTTTTATACAAAAAAACATGTATTTTCAATACAAAAATTGCAATTTCATATTTTCTCACCTGCTCTACTAACTAGACCAATGAGTATGATTAATATCAGTCTAGAAGTCCAAGTGGATCAGTAAACAGTAAAAAATGTTGAATCATTTATTATAAGATTAAAGTCATGAATTTCTTTAATAAATTATGATTAATTCACCTTCCTTCTAAATTCATCAGTTAGCAATGTTTGATTCGTTGCTTTCCTTTGAAGATCCTCGTGCTCTTCGAAACTTTTTTCAAACATTCTATCAGCCATTGCTAGCTGCTGCATCAGCTCAATCATTCTGTCTTGGTTACCAGCAGCCTAAGAAAAGAAAAATAATTAATTTCACTAAATAAGACAATAAAGACATTAGACTATATAACATCAATTTCTTATACCACGATGTCTTCATCTTCAAAACATTTCAACCTTTCCTCAATATCTTCAGCCCTGGCTTCTGCTTGTTCAGATTTTTTCAATGAGGCACAGGACAGTCGCCTAGCTTCATTTAATTCAATGCGCAATACAGAGATTTCTTCCACCTTAAATAGAATAATAAATTGATTCATTGATCTATATCTTGAAAATTATAATGAAATAACATTTTAAATTTCTTTGTTTGCCCAATATACCTCATGAATCTGATCAATTATTAAATCAATTTTTTTTTTCAAAGTTTCTATATGAGCATCATAAATAGGTAATATAAACAAAGGAGGATGATTACATATATGTACTTCTTTTGTATGTTTGTGTGTAACAGTTAACTTACCAAATATAGGCAAAATTTTCTTTTACAAAATTCAAAAAAAAAAAAAAAACTGTTTTTCAGATAGTGTTTATAAAAGGTATGAATTCATGAATGCATCAATGTCTAAGTGGTCGGAGAGGGAGGTCTGTTGGCACAAGGTGAAGGGAGGTAAGCATTGATTTTAAACATTTAGGGAAAATAAGAGAAAAAAGGATTTTCCAACACAAGACTCGTTTAATTAACTAAGTTATAGTTATAAAATTCACCTTTTCATTAAAATTTTTTAGAAGCTTATCATAGTCTGCCTCCAGATATTTTAATTCTCCTTCTACATGTTTAGCTGGAATTTTATCTTTTACAACTTCTATGTATTTTTCTCTAACTTCTGAGTGATGTGGTAAAATTGGCGACAAATCCTGCAGCTAAAAATTTAATTAAAATTAATCTTTTATATGATGATATGGATATTCATGAAAATAAAAGAAAATTAAAAGGAATCAGAAACTATTTAACTAACATGAAATATTCTATCAACATAGCAAAAATCTAAGGAGATATTTAAAATTACAATGTAAATTGTATTTTACTATTTATCAGAAAAGTTCAATATAAATTTGTAAAAACAAATATATTTTGTTAGTGGTGATTATTATTCTAAAAGAAGAAATGCCAAGTAAACAGATTTTCCTATATACTATAAAATCTTAGAAGTAAAAATTTACATGATATCATTGCTGATTCTACACTACTGCGGAAAATCTAAGGAGAATAGCTTGAATATATTGGCAGACATTTTTCACAAAGAACATGGAGTGTAATAAATATGGAGCTAACTATAATATTGCTTTCATTTAAATTATCAGGCAAGAAAAATCAGTGTATAGAGAATAGGGATTTAAGCAGTTATACCACATGAAATACAAATTTTGGCAGAAATAATAAAACAGAATGAACAAAATCAGCCATTAAAAAACATAACAATTGATTCTATAAAATATCATCAACATATTCCCCATATTATCTTAAGCCAATCTTTTCTATCTCAAGCCCAAAATGCTTCCTTTCTGAAGGCAATCTTTTGCTGGCTGTTCCCACACATATTTCCTTCATTTCATGTTGGATGATCCAACATAACCCATAAAGGATCAACAAAGATTAACTTTATACCAAGCCTGAGCAATATGTTGATCAATTCCAAAATTTATATTTTGAGACTTGATTACCTGGATTAGGAAATAGGAAATCTTATGACTACCTCAGACATCTAATAAATATTGCTGCTTTTATCAGCATTACAGTTAGAAATGCTCTCATTCTTTATAAAAGAGTCTATTTGGCTAATTGGTGATCATAAGACAGCGTCATTGCAAATCAAATATATATATATATATATACATATCCTAGGAATCTACATGAAAGAGAAATAATTAAAATTTCAAACATAATACTCAACAAAATGAAATCTAATAATTGGTAATTGGTTGACTGTCGTGGATAATGAAGAGAAGAATAGTTGGGGTGGTCAGTCAAAAAGGAAGGCAAAAATAAATGATAATATTTATTTTTTACATATGCCGATGTTTCGACCTGAAGTTCAGGCCTTCATCAGGGCTAAGAAAATAACCAGATAACAAGGTATGAGAAACATAAGTAATGATGGTAAAAAAGATAATAAAAAATAAAAAAATAAAATATCCTTATAATTCAGAGTAGCTAAATTATGATTAGAATTACATCAAATTATTATTTAATCCTTAGCTTACTATAACTTACGCCTTTACTAGCATTTTCAGTGATTGCAGGTGCTGCACAGCGTAAAAGCCTTTTTTGCATTTCTAGTTGTCTTCTTTCTGCTTGTACTGAGCTCAACTCAGATTGCATTACTCTCACCTCTTGTTCCATAGACGCCACAAACATTTCCTTTAATCAACAAAAACAACATTAACTTTTGCTTCAATACTTATCTAAATTAAAGGACAATGTTAAATTTATGGAGTTGAATAAAGAACAGGAAAAATAGCGAAACTGTTTGATTCTAATTACAAAAACAAGTGTTTTGGAAATGTTTATTTACAACTTTACAAAAAAAAACAAAAATATCTTACTTAAACAGTCAAGTAAAAGTAGCAAATGATCATGCAAGTTGAAATGGTAGTATTTGTCCATTTAATTGTAAGGGAACTTAAGCTTCAATATTGTCAATAAATCAGTAACATTTTTTTTTTTCATAATTTAAAGATGGAAATGTAGTTAGCAACCAAGGAAGGCTCTTACCTGGCAAGACTTCTGCAAGAGTTCTTACTCAAGTTATTCAGTTCTTGTTTTGCCAGCAACCAATTGTGGTGATGATGACCCACATGCTTAGTTCGAAATGTTGGCAAAATTAATAAACAACATAAATGACAACATATCCCGATTTTTTTTAATTTTAAGTGTTTGTCTCTCAAAAACTTAAATAAACTAATATTTAATACTAAATATCACTTTAAAGTGCAGAATATATAATCAATTTTAGTAAATATTTCAGAGCTTAATTATTTTTTAATGGTATTCTTAATGTATTATTTTATTTTTTAATGTATTCTGGAGCCTGAAGGAGAAATATGTGCAAAAAATTGAAGGAAAGCGATGCAGTGGATTGCTGGAAGAAAGTGACAGGATCCCGAGAGACCTCACTAGAGGGCAAGCCATGGTATGCTTTAGAATGCTCACAGGGCATGATTTCCTGCAGAAGCACCTCCACCGCATTGGTGTAAAAGATAGGCCGACATGTCCTCTGTGCTCCTTGGATATTATGATAGGAGAACATCCTTCATAAATGGCATGCATTACAAGACATAAGATGTTCCTGTAGTAAAATGAACAGCCCTTATGCTAGGAGAGAACATTATATTGGACTGCAAGAGTACGAATGGTTGATCAAGCAAGCATTACTTAGACATAGGAAAAAAAAAAAAAACTTAACTAAACTACAAATATCACTTAACAGTGCAGAATAAATAATCCATTTTAGTAAATATTTCAGAGCTTAATTATTTTTCAGTATTAAAAAATACTATGCTATATACATACTACAAAAAATACATGTATTGAATGTAAAATGTATATTTACATTCAATTAGATATGTTGTTCTAGAAAAATAATTAGATTCTTACCATATCAGCTGCTGGTTCCTCCCCTGGTACTGGCAGGCCCATTTGCTTCAAAATATCCCGTTTACAGATTGGTCCTTCATTGCCACCCATAGCTCTTTTACATCGCACTGGATTTCGCTGATCACTTTCCTTAAAGAAAATGTTATTTTAAAAATAAATTAAAATAATAATGCTATATATATATATATATATATATATATATATATATATATATATATATATATATATATATATATATATATATATATATATATTATAAATTTCCACATAATGAAAAGTTGTAAATATTTAGTGATTTTGATTAATCACATAGATAACACAGTATGAAACCAAAGTCGAATTAATATAACAAAATAATGTTGGTTTGCTCTTGTAAGTAGAATGTGAGAAGAAAGAAAAATCAAATAGTTAATGAAAATTTGTCTTTAGAGATTAATCGAATGGTTAATTAATTGATAATGTATACTAGAGCCTGATCAAGATGTATATTGATTCCTCCTCTAGCCTTGTAAGAATGGGCATTAGCCAGGAGAGAAAGAGGAGTTTGAGGCAGGTAGAAGGCAAGACAAATATAAACAATAAACTTAAGAAAAAGAAAGATATTTAAGGGCCTCAACGGAATGAGTCTCAACCTTTCCACACTGGTTAGAGTCAGATTGTTTGTACCTATAGAACAAAGCCGGAAATGGTGAGATAAGGAATAACAAAAAAAAGTACACAACAAAGTACGAAATCATAAGCTATGAGTAAATATATATTTTAAATTATTGTTTATCAAATTATTATTATATTTTAAAGTTCTACCTCTTTCATTAACTGAGAGCCAGGTCCAGTATTTGGTATGGGAAGGTTCAGCTGTCTGTATAAATCCAGCTTACATACAGGAACTGATTCTGACATTATGACTGGTACACCAACTGTAAATTATAAGATTACAATTAGTGACATAATTTCAATCAATTTCATAAACATATATCACTAAGTAAATTTATAAATTGATTCCAAAATCAAATCACTAAATTAATTTTTAAATATTATATAAAATTATATTTCCAAATATAAAAGTGGTTTTTCAAAATACAAAATGTCCAACTTTCATTTATTTATGTAAGTACTTATCTGTAGGTTGAAAACTTATATATTTTTTGTAATCAACCCTTCAATTAACATATTTGAGAATTTAATTTAATTTTAATATTTCACAGAAAAACTGTGATTTTCAAAAATCAATAAAACGACTAGATTTTCTCATGCACTTAAATTGTAGGTTCTCTCTATTATTCTAATGCCTTTAAATAAATACAAAAATCCTCTCTTTTTATCCATTGATTGATCATAATCATTCATATGTATATAAAGTAATCTGAGGCAATAAATGTCATGTCATGAAAATAAGAACATTGCTTTGGTGTGTATGGGGCGAATAACTTCTTCCAACAATACTTGTTGAACGGAATAAGCACTCTTTCCATTTCATTAAAAAATATTTACTATGATGAATTGATATAACACAATGGTTTAGGAATTAGTGCAAAACCCAAAGTTGTTAATAAATTATTTCATTAAATTTACCCATCACTTACATAATTTAAACTTAAAAAATAAACTGGATAATTAAATCACTAACTTTCTACAATTTAGACATAAAATAAAGCACAAACATTTGTAAACTCCTTTTCATATTGTCACCATGACAATGCCATGAATAATTAATGACAACTCAATAAAATTATTAAACTATTAAAATAAAATTATTTCTCTTCAAGTGTCGTATTAATGACTGTAGGTGATACAAAATTAGATTTGTATAGCAGAAGAAACCTTGAATTTACAAAATACAATGAGAAAAAAATATACTCAAGGGTAAATTTTTTTGAGGATTATGAGAGATGAAGGAGGGTAATAATCAAATAACACTTAATCTGTGGCCAAACCAGATGCACGCAACTGAACCACACAAAATAGAAAGTTTATTGGGCACATCATTAATGTACTGTTTCGCACCCAATGAACCATCTTTGTGGTAATATTTCTTTTAGTCTGTTTCTGATGAATTCAAATTTAATATTATTTGGGTCCGTTGTCTGGTTAAAAGTGTGGCAAAATATTAGGACTTGATGAAAATAAAAATTTAAAGTCTATTCTCAAACATGATTTAATTTTCAAACAATCAATAAGTTGGATGAGTGAAAATTGAAATAAACTTAAAGTAACTGATTCTATAATAATTAAAGTACCTAGATTCAACAGATAGGAATACTCCTACAGCTACTAGTTTTAATTTGGCCATAAAAAAATGATAAACTTCAAATTAATTTGATCTTATTGAAAACATAGCCATCTGCAAATCATAGTTCTTCCATTAACACATTTCTTCTCTTTTTTCTCATTTAGATAGTTTACTCTATAAATAAGGCTTTTTCTTATTTCATACATTAGTAAAAATTTTACAAAAAATCCAATGAGATGATTCCTCATAATTACAATACATTTTGTTTAATGAAATAAAATATTGATGTAAATAAATTTTATAAAATGTCTGGATTAAGCTAGTAGCAGTACGTAGTCAGTACTTAAGTGGGAACCAGTGTAACTATGGAGCTTATCTTTATATGCTATAGCTGAGCAGTATAGCTGAGATTCTACAAGGTACAAAATACTTGATTTAAAAAATAGGAAAAATCAGGAAAATGAATCTTGGTAATAGTAATGTTTTGGTAATAGTAACTTTTCTGAGAATCTACGTGTTTGTTGAATAAAAAGTGACATGAAGTTATTTATACAGTATAATGTTTTTCATCATTAAATAAATCATTCAAATATACCAGAAAACATTAAAATAAAAAGATTGTAACAAAAATAAGTGATTATGATTAATATTTTATTACCGATCTATTAAAAAAAAAAAAAGAGTAGTAATGTTATTTTATGAAAATATTTTTATTAATTTAGTCCACAAATATCATTAGGAGCAAAGTATGATATCAAATATTTGTTTATAGATTAAAACTTATATCTAAAAATAATATAAATAACAAATTTTGAATAATTGTAATATACTAGATTTTAAAATAACAAAAATGGTTATCTTTAAATATTTTTAGATTGTTTAATTTGTAATCAACACAATCCTAATGGTAGTTTACTCCAACTGAACTTTCTCTGCTATGAAAAATCTAACATTTTGATATTTTAATTAAATTACTGTAAGATGTCTGAATATATTCATATTCACATACATTATCTTATTATAATTAATAAATATATTACTAGAATAGAATGTATGATATTTACAATATTCTAATAAAATTGAATAACTAAGTAAAAACACTAAGCAGCCTTGACCTCATGGTATCGAAGGCAAGTGGAGCATCAGCTGCTATACTAACTGATACTTCCTCCCTTTGATTAGGATGTATACCCAAAACTCAGAAGGCATGGATTGTTACTTGTACTCCTGCTTGTTTTTGGCAATGACAGGTGAAAATTTATACTATTTATAAACAATTAATTAATTATGTCTATATTAATAATTCAAAAATAAGTACAACTGAAATGTTTTGCCCTCAGACGTATATTAAATATTAAACTGTAAATATTACTTTTTTTTTCCAACTAGCAACTGTTCATTCCTTTTAATAATTTTTCATGGTATTCTATTACAAAAGAAATTTATCAAAACTAAGTTAATTCTACTCATTTACACATATACAGTATATATGTTTCTCTGGCAAGTTTCAAAGCTAATGTGATTTATATATCATCGGCCCCATAGTAATGAATGTGAGCCCGTTTAATGTTGCCTATTATTTTAACATGGTGGCTGACAATATATTCATTCTTCTGGCCAAAAATCCCTAGAAATTTGCCTTTGATAATTCCTAAACTTGTTTTATCTAGTTATATAAAGAATTTTGAGATCATCTTCATGTTCATTTTCCACTCTAAATAGGACATATAGATTGATTCTATATATGTTATGCTGTCCCTGTCGGCCTACAATATTTTATTTTTCAATTTCTAAATTTAAAATAAAATAAATTAGATTTATTTTATAATACTTATATAATATCTGTATACATTTATTTTTGTAGCATACTTTATAAAAGGCTTCGGTTGGAGTTTAGTGGTAAGTTTAAAATATGACGGGATCCCATAACAATTATCCCAAGACCCAAAAAAATTATCCCTAGAATCCTTGGTTTCTCTTCATTGGTACTCTTCTTGAAATTAAGCTTTTATTTACCAGGAATTTTCTATTGTATATTCTTGATCACTGACAGTATAGGAATGCATTTTTTCTTCTAGAATGTTTTTTTTTTTTCATTTAAATTTCTTGGTCAAAACATTCATTTGATTTAGTATTATATACAATGACACTAATACCAATTATTTTATTATTACACTAACATGATTTAGCATTATCAATGATAATTATTAAAATTTGTTCAATGCACAATTGAAAATAATTAATAAATTATTTAAAATAATTTAAGACCGAATCGTTCGGCTCATTTATGTTATTGTGTATTGAAGGTATAATAAATGGCATAGTAATCTTTTTCATTAATCTTCTTCAGTGAAAGGTCAAACTATTTTCTGTATTAATACATTCCTTATCTTTATCAATTCATAAACTTTTGATATATTATAAATACTGATATGCTGCTTTACAAGTCAAATATAATTACTTAATTGTGACTTAAATTAAATAAATATTACTGCAAAATGAAATTTCTATTATACAGGCATTTTCTTATAGTTCTTTTTCAAAAAGCTGGTTTCACAAAATCTACCAGAACTGGTGCAGTGAGGCTTAGGTATGCATTACAGCCATCAGAAAATTTGAAAAAACAACCTTCATCAACTCAATTACAAGTAGGATTCTAAATAAATGAGTACTTGCCTGTTGCATCAGCCTTTCATTACCTAATTTTAAAAATCTGATTCTTACAGAATAATTTTCATGTAAAACCGGGAGAGACTTCAAGTGAGTAAATATTTAAATAGTAATTTAACTAAAGTGTAAAAATAAATATTTATGGCAGTATTTAACTTTTCTCAGATGATCTAACAATATTACATCCACTTTATCAATTAAAAAAAGGGAAAAACCCATGCATATTGCTCACAGTAGATGCCATTCTAAATTTGAAGTACTTAACTACTCTACACAAAGAACAGGTAATGCTTATCATGAAAAAAATTACTTGTATATTAAATTATTTCTAAACATATTACACTCTTCCAGTATGTGCATCATATCCATTTATTTTATTTTAATAGGTCCGTGATATTTATGTGCCATTCACGCCGAAAATAAGCGGAAATTGCAGTGATCAGATTGAACAAAATCTTGCCATAAGTTGGCGAACATTTGTTCTAAAATGGAATTTCCTCAAGGTATAAATTTTTATTAGTATACTGCTTTATAAGGTCAATATATATTTTTCAAAAAAATTTCTTTTCTTTTAAATGTAACAGTTGCATGGGGATACCAGAAAATTAATTTTTCATAATCTGGCCATTTCAAGAACTTTACTCACTCTCAGTCATTGATACCTCTTCGAATCTATTACAGATTTTACAAAAAAATAGTTTATGACATTTATACCTTTATACCCACATCTGCTAATATGGTTATAGTGAAATTTAAAAAAAGGATTATATTATAATTGATTTTATTTTGTTACTCTATGGATTTTTAAAACAAAAAAGTCATATTTTAGAATTCCCATGCAATTGTTTTATTTAAATCAAATTAAATAAAACTTATGTCTTTCGCATAATTTTATTTTATTTTATAATATTGTCACTTAATTGTGAAAATGTATTAAATAACATTTAATAAAATTAAATCACTAGGTACTTTAATAATCGAAACATTGTGCACTATATAAAATACTATAAGCACTTTGGACATAAAATAAGAATTGTGTTATTCTGTTAGACTAAATAAATTCTTGCATTGACAAATGCAATTTCGATATGATCGAACATTGAAGTTCAGCTTCATCAAAACTGAATTTAGTGATTTTTTGTCATAAACCTTTTTAAAAAATCAAGGATATTTTATTCTTTTATGTTAAATTTTATCTTTAAATTATTTGCTATCTTTAATCCAAGTCATCTTGAGTGTATTTAAGCAGAATTCCACTCCAAATTACTCTTCCCCTTAAAGCATTTCATCCTCCAGAAATATCCAATACCATTGACAGAATAAATTAAAATATTTTTGTCTCTCTTTAATCACCTACTTATTCACTGTTTTAGCTTCCAGAAAAAGGATGGTGGTTTGTGTCAAAGATAGAGCTGCAATGTGATCCATCTGACTTATTTTATGAATTTATTAATGCTGAAGGTACTCTTCCAACTTTAAAATTTTATATCTCCTTTCACAATAAGCTGTAAAATTTAAAAGGCAGAAACTTAACAACAATAAGGAAATATTAATAAAACTATTGGTAACTGTTAATCAATACTTGCTAACTTCAATGATCATTCATTTTAATTTATTCATTTATTTTTTGCTTTTTTTAATTTGGTTTATAGCTAAAGGTATTTTAAGAATTTATCTATTATATATTGATTTAGAAAGATAGATCTATTTTCCAGCTCTCAGGAACAATGAATTTTAACAAACGCAGTGTCAAAAGGAAGGAGATTTCATGAACAAATTAATAATTCAAATTCCTATTTTTAAATTCTTCCAGTTTTAATAAAATTTATTGAGATATGTGGATGGTTTCAAACTTCCAACAATGGTAAGCTAGTAGACTGAGACAGGACTGGTTTAGTTCTAACGATTTTTTATGCAGACATCAAGATCTAGGATGAGACGTTTCTAAGCACTAAAATTTCTTCTTTATTATAACTGTTTTTGAAATAACACATGGGCCCAGGCTAATTTTAGTGACAGCGCCTTAGATGCAATGGTTGCCATGGGATAGTTATCACATTTTGTTTACGTTTCTATAAATGATGAGCTTTTATATTCCACTCTTAATTGTCGAAAAACTAATCAATGGTCCTCAAAAGGAAGACTATTGGAACATGGAAGCTAGTCTGCAGTGCAGATTTAAAATGGTTGCAAAGATTCCACCAATGCAAAAACCTGTACTGACCAAAAGGCATAGCAGAGTAAAAAACAAAATAAAATAAACCAAAGACTCTACTTGACAACATCAACCAAATATGTCTTGATGAGGAAAATACTGGGTTAAAGCAAGATTACAAATAACTATCTGATTGTTGCTTAACTGTTAAACTAAGGAGGCAAACTAATTACTTATTAAGTAAACTACTTCAGCAAAGTCATTATAAAGTATGCAGCTTCTTCAATTGTGAGCATCAAATCGACTTTCTTGATAATATTATATTGTTTAAAAGAACAAACATGTTTCTCTAATATCACTTTAATTTTGAATGTATTAGGAAGAAAGAGAAACATCAAATACAAGTTTTTACAGATGTATACCAGATATCTTTAATACATAAATATCCAACCGTCTAACCAATTTTTTCATCAGGTCCATTTTCTAGTTATTAATGAATCAGAAAATAAAATAACATATACAAATGTTTTAATATCTCTTTTTTTTTTTTTTTTCGAAGGTATTTCTTATACTTTGTCATCAGACACCAATATTGAACCTTCCATAGCAGCACCAATCGGGAAGTCATTTATCTGTGATAGAGAAATAAAAGTTGATCTAAGTAGCACTCAGATCAATATGATTGCAAGTCTTTATATGCGAGCTATGGTAGTCAAGCCCTTCCTAGATAATAAAGATTTTGAAGAAAGTAATATCATTGTTTTTTATTATTAGCTAGTGTTAATATTTATTTCTTTATAATCAACTCAAAGGCATAAACAATAATATAGTTGTGAAACTTGATACTATTCTGCAGAACGGATAAAATATTACAAAAATAATAAATGAGGCAATAAAAACACACTTAGCAAATTCAAAACATTTTTTAAAAGCTCAATCTTCTTTTCTATGATTCCTTACTAAAATGAAGGAACATATTTCAATGACAAATTCTCCATATATATGTCTAGAGTTGATTGTAAAAACAATATTTTCATAAGTCTGTTTATAATTTATTATGCAAAATATTTTTTATCAATTTATCTGGATTGAGAATTAAGCAATCATCCATAAAGGTAGGAACATGAAGGATAGCTATAAGAGTGGATTCTGTCTAGGAAAAAAAGGCATACTAGTTCGATACAGAAGACTTCATTTTTTCAAGGGACTACCAGAGTTTACTGACTTATATCCATATTTTAACCTGGAGGGTATTAATATCATGATTCTCTGACTGCCATTCAGGTATAAACCCCTTTTCAAAATGGTTGAATCATTTGTCTCATTTATGTACAATATTTATATCCTAAAATAAATAAAATATTTATTTCGGAGAAGGAGAGGCTAAACACCCCATTCTCTCACGCTAGGTGTTTAAATTCTGCAAGGCATACTTTTAGTATGCTTTTGAATAGGTTCTGTTCTCATCTTTTATTTATTTATTTTTTTTTGGAAAGTTTTCTTTTAAACTTGTTTTATAAAGTATTGAGCAGACAACCCCTGGGGCATTTTGTGGTTTTATGGACCTGCCTTGCCACCTTTCTTCCTCACTTCCATAGCATTCTTTAAAATCTTCTATACAAGACTAGGAAATCTACTACTTCCTTCTTACCATCTTTAATTGTTTTAAACTGCTTATCTTTAGGTGTGATATCAATCTGTTTAAAGTTTTATATACACCAACTTTATAGGAAAATATCTCAAGAGGATATGAAATCCAGTCGCCTAGGGAGAGCAATTTTATCAAGAATAAATGCTGCAATTTTTATTTTGGGAGAATGAATGGATGCCCATGTCTGTGAATTTTATGAGCATCATGCATCATCAACCTGGATGTAGGTCAGTTAGGGTTTGAAATGAAAGAATGATGCAGTTGCATATCTATGAAATCTGGTTAACAATTTATGTTTTTCTAAACAATTTTTTATTTATGTCTCATTTTATAAAGTTACCTCCCTTCTAAAATTATCAGAGAAACTAAACTAAAATTTTGTAAAGAACATCTGATATCATAAAATTTCATTTCAAACACATTTTTAGAACAAACCTAATTTTGCACAGAAAAGTTTTTGATATGGATTATTAAATAGCTCACTTAGTTACTGTAGGACATCATTAATACTATAAAATTTTACTTTTTTTTTTTTGTCTTTTAAAATGAACTTTATTCTGAACTAAGAGGAATTAGATTTCATCTTCCATTTTATGTAACACACACACACATATATATTTAAACATTATTGTAGCATTATTTATTTTTTCATTCTTTTTTAGGCTACTTTTGCTCTAGTATTGGATTAGCAGATGAACACAGAGGGAATCCTTTGACTATAGGTTGTTTACTTGCTGTTTCAATTATTTCAAGTTGTACAACCTAGTAGTATCAGAGAAATAATGCAATATGAGTAACTAATTGAAGTAATTTCTTTAGAAAATTTAATTCAATCAGAGAATAATACAATACTTACTTCTGTAAGAATAACTGGTAATTTATGAAACAAGTTTCATAAACAATCAGACTTAATAGTGTGACAACTTTGAACAATAGTCCTTTCATATTGATAAAAATAAGAGAACTTTAGATGTAAAGACAATTAAAATAAGAAAAGCAAAAAGAAATGTCTGATTTGAAGAAAAAAAAATGCTTTTTCACTCAGAATAGAATTTTGCATTTCAACAGAAGCACAAAGTCAACGATTCATGCCAGCACTAATATATTTCAAGTTGAAAGACCTTTTTAGAAATACAAATATTTTGGTTAGCAAAAGTTATACCTGCACATTGATGAGCATGTTTATTATTATTTTTTACTGATTTACCACTATCTTTGATGAAAACTGCTCTACCAGATCGAAGGTTTAAACGTTGATGCTCAATTTAATCGATTGAGAGATTCTTCGATTTTAGTTCAGAGTTTGGGATCCTTATATGACCCATACTAACCTACTACCTACAACAGGCCTAAGGAAGGTTTGTTTGACAAGTAGCAGACTGATATGTCCTGTTAATGAGATGGAAAATATTTATTTATCATATTTAATTTTTATATTATGGGAAATTTTCATTTATCATCAAAAGAAACTAGTTTTTTTAATCATAGTTTCTTAAAACTGAAAATCATACCTATTCATTATTAACTAAGTAATCAAGAAATGTATCATTTCATAAAATCAAACTTATAATATGGTTAATCGCCAATGTCTGTGATATTTTTAAAAATATAATTTTTGTATTAAATTTTATTGATTAATAAACATTTTATCCTCATATGTCGAGTGGTGTTACCTATCTCACGACAAGGTTAAATTTAATATAGGATGTATTTGAAATGAATAGTTAATTTATCTTCCATAATAATCAGATCAGTTGAGGTTTAATCGAAAGCTGAAGCAAATGTAGTTTGAATGAAGAGCATATCCCTACTGTTAGTGCAAAAGGTATGTAACAACAATTTTTCATGCTTATTCTCTTTGTGCTAAAGGTGACATTTTGTAGTCTGCAACTGGTATATGTAGTCTGCTAAATAGGAAAATAGCAGAGGAAAATAAAATATGAAATTATACTAATAAATCACAAAGAAATAATTGGTTTTTAGGATGCTCTTCTGTAAAACAAACTCAATTTTCACATACTTCCTTTTGCACTAACAGTAGCAATGTTTAGGTGGCCAATATTAAGCCTGGGCCAAGTTTCATAAAAAAATACAATATAAAAATCAGTTAAATTGGTGAAGGATTAGATGTCCATAACTGCTTCTCCCATACCCCCTTTGTTCACAGCTTATTTACCCCAACATTTCTCGATGATGAGATAACAGGGTCTGAGTTTCATCATAAACTGGACATGTGGAATATTCAATTCATTTAATGATAAAATTTTAGAAATATATTTAATCTAGAAAAAGATTATTACAACAATAGAAATTTTATATGTATAATACATATTATCGGAATACAAAAATTAAAAAAAAGACAATGTTATATGTCAAGTGTAACATTACATAAAAAAAAAAAAAAAAATACTTCATGAAAAAAACATATGAAGATTGAACATCAATAGGCTTTAAAAAAAATAGTTACAACCAGTAAGTTTAATTGTCATTTCCAGCTTAAAAATTTAAACTTAAAAAGGAGGCTAAATTACACAAAAATTATTATTGCTTGTCATTATTAATGATTAAGGCATTTAACCCCTTGTTGGAAATGGCATTTGCTTACATTTTTGTTGTATCAAAATTGATTAATTTTTGTTTGGTAATCAACCAGTTACTGATGTCCAATCTTCAAATATAAACTAGGATAAAGCCATTATAACTCAATAAACATTAATGTACATAAAACAAGAATATTTACACACAGTCTATTCTTTCATCCTTTATACATTCTGAATGAAATTCAAAATATTAGATAGGTTGAAAAAGTTTACACAAGATGTAGGGAGTGGAATGATATTAGACATTCCTAACAAAGTTTGCTTCTGCCATTGAAGGAGACGCTCGGCATAGAAAGGCAAATGTTGCATAGAGAGCTTGCCGCTATTGGTGCCCGCTTCAAGGCAACACAGTGCCCAAACACCTCCTTTACCTTCCGTAATCCTTTGCCTTAAGTTATCCAAAGCTTCCCTCCAAGCAAGCCAAGTTACGTTGGTTTCATCGCTGTTGTTGAAATAACCACCAATCCAAGCTACCTAAATGAAAAATGAGTAAAGAGATTATAAATTAGAAATTTCACAGACAGAAATCAATTCTACCAAATTTGTATGAATTTTAGCAGATACCAATATTGAAAAGACCAATCTATTGGCCTATCAATCATTCTTTACCTTTCTATTGATGTTCATATAGTTTCAATTAAAATATTCTCCTTATTATTGAATAAATGTGGCAATCATAGTTAAATGAATCGACCTGTATATATAAATTTTAACCGATACAGATATTCCTAAGACCAATATATTGGCCAATCAGCCTTTTTTTATTGAGGTTCATAGAGTGTTGTATTTGTACACAGTGTTCTTATTGCTCAATGAATGTGTCAATCAACCACCTATGGATCGACCTATAATGAAATTGTAGGTAGTATGGACATTCTCAAGATCAATATATCAGCCTTTTGTTTTTTTTTTGTTATGGTCCATATCATATCACTAGGAAAATTCTTACTGTTGAATAAATATGTCAATCGACAGTCACGGAGCCTTTTTTCAGGACTGGATTCTATAAGTAGTTCTTGCTAATTTGTACTTTAGTTTAGTTATTTAACCCTTTGACTATGGATGGGATACATGCCTTCCTGTTAAGAGTTCGGTTACTGGTGTGGACTGGATGTATGCATTTCTGCCTGGGCGGTTGCCAGTTAATTAGGTAGGGATAAGTCCCACTTTCACCATTTGACTTGTGACTTGGTCGGTGCATTCTTAAGTCCCCTGTAGCTAACTCAGTACAGTCGTTCCGGATTCTGACCATTTGGAAGCTATCAGTTGCAGATTTATTCTGAACCCAAGGTATGTCCTTTCTCTGTTATTTGTGTCATATCCATGATCTTATTTAAATGTTTTATAAATAAAATAAATATTAATAAGTTAATTTTATAATTTTTTTATTTTGGTTTTGACTGAATGCTGATTTTGGTACACATGAATCTCTGTCTACTAAACAAATAAATGTAAGTTTTCTACATACATATATATATATATATGAAATATATATATAAAATTAAATTTAAATTAATAATAATTATAAAAATATACAGAATTAAAATGATGCTCCCTAAAAACAATATATATCTTTCATTTAATATAAAAGTGTTTGAAACTTCAAAATAAATGTAAGTGCAATAATAAAATTTATAACTGCGCTATTTTCAATGTGGAACTATTTTAGGTAAGAAAAAAATTGTAAATACAAAGAAATAAATCATTTGAATCCTGCCGCCGGTGTCTTTTTTTTTAGAAATAATCTAATTTAATTTTGATAATCACTTACAGTTATTTTTGTGATCATTTTCAGTTATTTTGCTTTTCAGAATGAGCAAATAGGCAAGAAAGCAAAGTGTTGCGGGATTGCCACTCCGATTTTACATTGCTATGTGCAGTCGGAAAGGCGTATATCCCGTTTTTTAGAAGTTGAATAAAAATGTTAAAATGCATTTTCAAAAGCTAAGATTTTGCAAAGTGACTCAAAATAGCATTTTAAAAAAATGTATGCAACAAAAAAAAAATCATTTTTTTGGAAGTCTGTAGATTTCAGGATGAAATGTATGGTAAGAAACTTGCGAATGAGCTCCCACAGTCAAAGGATTAAAGTATATCTTTGGTTTACTACAAAAACATCATTAAATGATAAATTTAATATTTTCATAATCTCAAATAATTAACAACTTTTATGAATTTCTCTTGAAAATTGAAGAAATTGTGCACTTATGAAATTACATAAGATAATAAAAGGGTTTAAGCCATTTTCATCCACGTACAGTGTTTTTCTGTAGATATATAAAGTTCACAAAAGCACATTTAAAAGTTAACCTATATAAAAAATGCAATTGATGACTTTTTTTATTATTAGGAGTAGACCTGGGCACTCTTGAAATAATTTATTTCTGAAATAATTCACATGGTTATTCCACGAATGAATTATTTCGGGAATAACGGTTATTTCTGAAATAATATTTCAAACAGTCAACGAAATAATCTCGATGGAATAACTCTGAATTTATTTCTGAAATGATTATTTCACTATTTTAACATTCTTTGGAATAATGTAAATTATTTCGAAATGAGTTATTTCTGAAATAAATTATTTCATAACTATTATTTCAGGATTATTTATTTCATAAATAAATTATTGCATAAAATCAAGAAATAAATATTTCAGAAATAACATTGTTCTGAAATAACATAAAAAAATTACCAATATGCACCATGTTTTCGGGGGCGCTTTTTATGAAAATACTGTCGAATTTGAGATTGCGCCACCCCTTCCCCACCCCCCCTCCACTTTTTGTTACTTTTCGGATTTAATCCATATCAGGGTCGACTATTATGTTTTCGGGGGCGCTTTTTATGAAAATACGGTCGAATTTGAGATTGCGCCCCCCCCCCACCCTCTCACATCAACTTTTTGTAACTTTTCTGAAATAATCGATATCAGGGTCGAATATTATGTCTTCGGGGGTGCTAATTATAAAAATAAAGTCGAATTTGATATTGCACCACCCCCTCCCCACCCCCCATCGACTTTTTGTAACTTTTCAGATATAATCGATATCAGGGTCGACTTTTATGTTTTCGGGGGCGCTTTTTATGAAAATACGGTCGAATTTGATATTGCACCACCCCTCCCCACCCCCCATCGACTTTTTGTAACTTTTCAGATATAATCGATATCAGGGTCGACTTTTATGTTTTCGGGGGCGCTTTTTATGAAAATACGGTCGAATTTGAATTGCACCACCCCCTCCCCACCCCCCATCGACTTTTTGTAACTTTTCAGATATAATCGATATCAGGGTCGACTATTATGTTTTCGGGGCGCTTTTTATGAAAATACGGTCGAATTTGATATTGCACCACCCCCTCCCCACCCCCATCGACTTTTTGTAACTTTTCAGATATAATCGATATCAGGGTCGACTTTTATGTTTTCGGGGCGCTTTTTATGAAAATACTGTCGAATTTGATATTGCACCACCCCCTCCCCACCCCCCATCGACTTTTTGTAACTTTTCAGATATAATCGATATCAGGGTCGACTATTATGTTTTCGGGGGCGCTTTTTATGAAAATACGGTCGAATTTGAAATTGCACCACCCCCTCCCCACCCCCCATCGACTTTTTGTAACTTTTCAGATATAATCGATATCAGGGTCGACTCTTATGTTTTCGGTGGCGCTTTTTATGAAAATACGGTCGAATTTGAAATTGCACCTCCCCCTCCCCACCCCCCATCGACTTTTTGTAACTTTTCAGATATAATCGATATCAGGGTCGACTATTATGTTTTCGGGGGCGCTTTTTATGAAAATACGGTCGAATTTGAAATTGCACCACCCCCTCCCCACCCCCCATCGACTTTTTGTAACTTTTCAGATATAATCGATATCAGGGTCGACTTTTATGTTTTCGGGGGCGCTTTTTATGAAAATACTGTCGAATTTGATATTGCACCACCCCCTCCCCACCCCCCATCGACTTTTTGTAACTTTTCAGATATAATCGATATCAGGGTCGACTATTGTGTTTACGGGGGCGCTTTTTATGAAAATACGGTCGAATTTGAAATTGCACCACCCCCTCCCCACCCCCCATCGACTTTTTGTAACTTTTCAGATATAATCGATATCAGGGTCGACTATTATGTTTACGGGGGCGCTTTTTATGAAAATACGGTCGAATTTGAAATTGCACCACCCCCTCCCCACCCCCCATCGACTTTTTGTAACTTTTCAGATATAATCGATATCAGGGTCGACTATTATGTTTACGGGGGCGCTTTTTATGAAAATACGGTCGAATTTGAGATTGCGCCTCTCCCTCCCCCCCCAATCGAGTTTTAGTGACTTTTCCGATGTAATCGATATCAGGGTGGTCTTTTATGTTTTTGGGATATCTTTTTCAAATTCTACCGTATATTCTTAATTAGCTACCCCGAAAACATATTAGTTGATCCTGGTATCGATTGAATCTGAAAAGATACAAAAAGCTGATGCGGGAGGGTGGAAGGGCGCAATCTCAGATCTGACATTATTTTTATAATTAGCGGCCCCGAAAACATAACAGTCGACCCTGATATCGATTATATCTGAAAAGTTACAAAATGCGATGCTGGGTGGGGAGGGGGATGGCGCAATATCAAATTTGACAGTATTTTCATAAAAAGCGCTCCCGAAATCATAAAAGTCGACCCTGATATGGATTAAATCCGAAAAGTTACAAAAAGTTGATGCTGGAAGTGGAAGGGGGGGGGACGCAATCTCAAATTTGACATTATTTTTATAACTGGCGCCCCCGAAAACATAATAGTCGACCCTGATATCGATTATATCTGAAAAGTTACAAAAAGTCGATGGGGGGTGGGGAGGAGGTGGTGCAATTTCAAATTCGACCGTATTTTCATAAAAAGCGCCCCCGTAAACATAATAGTCGACCCTGATATCGATTATATCTGAAAAGTTACAAAAAGTCGATGGGGGGTGGGGAGGGGGTGGTGCAATTTCAAATTCGACCGTATTTTCATAAAAAGCGCCCCCGTAAACATAATAGTCGACCCTGATATCGATTATATCTGAAAAGTTACAAAAAGTCGATGGGGGGTGGGGAGGGGGTGGTGCAATTTCAAATTCGACCGTATTTTCATAAAAAGCGCCCCCGTAAACATAATAGTCGACCCTGATATCGATTATATCTGAAAAGTTACAAAAAGTCGATGGGGGGTGGGGAGGGGGTGGTGCAATTTCAAATTCGACCGTATTTTCATAAAAAGCGCCCCCGTAAACATAATAGTCGACCCTGATATCGATTATATCTGAAAAGTTACAAAAAGTCGATGGGGGTGGGGAGGGGGTGGTGCAATATCAAATTCGACAGTATTTTCATAAAAAGCGCCCCCGTAAACATAATAGTCGACCCTGATATCGATTATATCTGAAAAGTTACAAAAAGTCGATGGGGGGTGGGGAGGGGGTGGTGCAATTTCAAATTCGACAGTATTTTCATAAAAAGCGCCCCCGTAAACATAATAGTCGACCCTGATATCGATTATATCTGAAAAGTTACAAAAAGTCGATGGGGGGTGGGGAGGGGGTGGTGCAATCTCAAATTCGACAGTATTTTCATAAAAAGCGCCCCCGAAAACATAATAGTCGACCCTGATATCGATTATATCTGAAAAGTTACAAAAAGTCGATGGGGGGTGGGGAGGGGGTGGTGCAATTTCAAATTCGACCGTATTTTCATAAAAAGCGCCCCCGTAAACATAATAGTCGACCCTGATATCGATTATATCTGAAAAGTTACAAAAAGTCGATGGGGGGTGGGGAGGGGGTGGTGCAATTTCAAATTCGACCAGTATTTTCATAAAAAGCGCCCCCGTAAACATAATAGTCGACCCTGATATCGATTATATCTGAAAAGTTACAAAAAGTCGATGGGGGGTGGGGAGGGGGTGGTGCAATTTCAAATTCGACCGTATTTTCATAAAAAGCGCCCCCGTAAACATAATAGTCGACCCTGATATCGATTATATCTGAAAAGTTACAAAAAGTCGATGGGGGGTGGGGAGGGGGTGGTGCAATATCAAATTCGACCGTATTTTCATAAAAAGCGCCCCCGAAAACATAAAAGTCGACCCTGATATCGGGTATATCTGAAAAGTTACAAAAAGTCGATGGGGGGTGGGGAGGGGGTGGTGCAATATCGAATTCGACATTATTTTTATAATTAGCGCCCCCGAAAACATAACAGTCGACCCGGATATTGATTATATCTAAAAGTCGATCGGAATGATTATTTCAGATTTCACATTATTCCTGAAATAATCATTTCAGATATCGTTATTCCTGAAATAATTTATTCCCGAAATAATCATTTCGGAAATAATGGTCAGGTTATTTCATGAAATAAATTATTTCGGAAATAACTATCGAGGTTTATTTAGGGATTTATTCCGGGAATATTTTTCAAATAAATTCTGCCCAGGTCTAATTAGGAGTTTTCACTAATACTGGGTTTCCTTAATCTAAAGTGCTTGGATGGGTTCTTTCCATAATGTCCTATCTAAGGTCCATTCTTCCCGTAGACCATGACCCATCATGGAATCCTCCACTTTGTTATCCCAGGTCTTCCTTCTCTTCTTTTCCTAGTTTTCCATAAGTGGACTTCTTTGGATAGTCATCCTTCAGGCATTCTTTTCAAATGTCCATACCACTTCAGATGTTTTTTCTTAATCTCTTCCAGAATGGTTCTTTTAGCCTCCATCTTTTCTCTGATGGTCGTATTTCTCACTTTATCCATTCTGGATATTCCCGCCGCTCTTCTCCAGTAGTCCATTTCGGTGGCTAGAAGTTTCTTCCTGAGGTTGCTTTTTATGGTCCAAGTTTCTGACCCATATTATATCATAATGCTCAGTACTATACTATTGTAGATTTTTTTTTTTGTTCTGGGGATAATGTTCCGGTTTCATAATACTGATTGAGCATTGATATGGTCTTTTTGCGATCTGAAAATTTTCTTTTTATTTCCACATCATATTGCACCACCTATTTCAATTATGGAACCAAGATATTTAAAACGTAATTCTTTTTAGAACCCCTCCTGAATTCAGTTCTATATCCTCATTATTGGATGTCATGTGTTCCGTTTTCTATGCATTAATAACTATTCCTCACTGCTGGTATTCCTCATTTGATTTTCTTAACATATATCCAGTATCTTCTGCGTCCTGTGCAATGATGACTTGGTCATTTGCGAAGGATAGGTTATAAAGGAACACCTTTTCTTTCAACTGAATCTCCATGGGTTCACATTTTATTCTCCATACTTTCAAACAAATGTCAAGATAAATCTTGAACAGAGGAGGAGAGGCACAACACCCTTGGAGCAATCCTTTGCTTGTTGGGAAAGGCTGAGAAAGGTATGTCCCAATTTTGACCTCGCAGGTGTTTCCTTTGTACATTTCCTTTATTATATCTATGAGACCTATATTAATGTTAGCATTTTGGAGGTCTTGCCATTATAGTCTTCGAGGGACACAATCATATGCTTTCTTCAGGTCTATAAATATTAGTTCAATGTTCCTGGAAACGGCTTGATGTTTCTGCAGCAATTGCCTCAGAGTGATTATAGGGTGATTGCACAATCTTCCCGCTGCAAATCCACATTGGTCTTCTGAACCTTTTTTTAATTAACTGACAATATAATTTAAATAAAAGTAGAAGTATTAATTCTTAAAAACTATATAAAATAAACCATCCAACTCAAACAACTTACTAAAACTAAGTATTGTTAATCTAAGAATTAACTAAATAAATTGTATTGCATAAACAATATAAGCATTTTTTTTTTCTAGTAAAGATGTAATTTTATTTTATTTTTTTATTTATTTTTCTATCAATAGAAAATAGTATATTTATAATTGGTCAACGAGGCCAATATGACAAAATTGAAATCAGTATCAGTCAATCCCTAGATTATCCCCATGTACATGCATTTCATACTACCATTTCAGGAGGAATAAAAACAGGAACATACTATTAATTAATACATGTAGAGTAATCCATTAAACATTATAGCCTAATGGCATCGATAAATTGCTACTGCAAACAATACTTAATTGCTGTTATAAAGCTGAAATTTAAAAAATATCAATACTTTCTTTTTAAAGACCAATATATACTAATAGCCATTCATTACTTCTCATTCCTCACCAAATTTGTGTAACATAAACATAAATAACATAAAGAGCCAATCAGTCAAGCAATGACAAAAACTATTAATAAACTACTGTCAAGTATACTTACTGCATGTGCAAAAACCTCCAAGTCTTCTTCATTTTCTGAACAGTTCAGAGAATGGATAAGAATCAACAAGGCCGAAACTAAATCATTCACAGGAGGTTTCATGGGGTTACGCATGTAATGAGTAGCACACAAAAAAAAATGAACTAGATTACGATACATTAAAGAGTTCTTGATGATTGATTTGTTATCACGATCTAAAAAATAAATACATAACTTGGACAGTTAATTAATAAAACACAATAGTCCTAAGGTTTCCAAAAAAATATAAAATATTGACCAATTATTATCAGAAAAAATCACTAATTTATATTGGCTATTCAAAACCTTCTACTGGTGTGAATGGATGATTTTACATACCACAATAAGCCTTTCAAGAACTTTATGTCAACAAAATCTGCTGTTTCGGTCTCACAGGGGTAAAATCACCCCGAGGAGTAGATACAAGAAGAGTATACAGAGGAGACAGGAAGCAGACTGCAAAAGTGTATAGTGCACTCAAGATGAGTTTGCTTGTTGGGAAAAGGAGCTAACGCAGCCTTCTTACTTTCAAGTTCCACCTCTCCAAAATCCCTCTCAAGCTCTACTTCCCCTCCTCACCATAGCAATCACCTCATACCGGAAACATGTTGTTTGATTTTCTTCAAATTTTGCACAAATGTTAATTAAAGGTAGGTATTTTAATTGAAATTAAAATAAAACAGTCGTAAGAATGGTTAATACGAATTTAAAAAAATATGAATTAGCAAGGTATACTGTTCAGAGAACTCGATGATATTGCTAGAGCCCGGATCTGTAATCTAAATTTAGTCAGAAAGAGGTCGTAAAAATCAATTTTTATATCTAAAAAAGATCTAATCAAACCATTTATTTATTATCATTAACCATTTTATTAATTTGAGGAGTTAGTCGAGGGTGCGGTCAAATAAATAAAAAAAATTAAAATATATTAACTATTTTAATTTTTGCCGACGTTTCGACCCACTTTGCAGAGGTCGTCTTCAGGGCGTAGGATGTGGCACTGCGGGAGGCAGTTGAAACACTGGCCACATCGAAACGTCGGCAAAAATTAAAATAGTTAATATATTTTAATTTTTTTTTATTTATTTGACCGCACCCTCGACTAACTCCTTCTCATATTATATCAACGGTCAACCATCTCTACATCATTTTATTAATTATTTGATAACAGAAAAAATATGGATTGGACAACTCCCAGCCCATTTTCATGAATTTAAATATGTTCATAATTACGTTTTTGGTCCGAGAGTAGATAGTTTTCTCTCTACCCAGTTTATTTGACATGGTAAACGAAAATTGGCAACAGAAATGAAAAAAAAATAGGGCAAAAGAAATTTGTTTGTAAAAAAATTTAGAGAAGCACGTTTCATCATTTAAATTTATAACACTGAGCTGGAAATCAACAAATGGTCTAATGCAAACTTGAATTCATCATTACATCAATCAAGAATAGCGACGACCAAATTATCTATGAGCCATTTACTGCATCTGCTAATAGAGTTTTTCATAGCAGCCAGATGGTCTTTGCTACTCTAGTTCTTATTTTGTTTTATAGTTTATTTACCTGCCCTCCTTATGTGGGGGATCCCAAGCTCAGGAGACCAGGCGGGACTACAGGTGGCGGATAGTGGACTTGCACACCTGAACCATGAGCGGCAGGCACCAACAGGGCGGGGGAGGGTGGTCAGTGGTGCGGCCATCCTCAAAAATACTCCAGAGAGTCCTAAGACGACAACTATAACGAGGCAAGTATGCGCCGCCTCTAAATATGCACAACCACACCCCCATCACAGCGGGGACACCTAGGAGAGGGACAACTCCGAATAAAAACCCGAACGGATAAGGCACGTTAGCTGTGGCAGGCAACTTATATAAGGAAAAGAGATGGCGACAGAAAACCTCTGGTCCTACAGGTTGGGGGTTGTCATCTGGGTCAGCAGCTCATTGACGTAAAACTCTTCTCACTACAAGCAGTCAGAAAAGAGCCTCGGATTTGGATAGTCATAACGGAAGCAGACTTTGGAAACGGAAACGGACTTTTCATTTTGGTACTTGGAATATTCAGAGCTTCGCCAACTACACTCCTTACCAATGTGACAAACATGGTTCTGAAAGGTTGTGATCTGCCTGATGATCTCCGAACAGGATACCTCTGCTCCATCTTCAAAAAAGGAGATAGGAAGCAATGCCAGAATTATCGCGGCATCTGTGTACAGAGCTCCGTGAGTAGGATTGTCGGGAGACTTGTCCGGGATAAGCTGGAAGAAGGAGAGTACACCACACGGGTGGTACAAACTGGTTTCACTGCCAGGAGATCCTGTATGGACAATATTTTTGTACTTTTTCTTTGTGAAGAATAGGGAGCTTCATTCAGCCTTCATTTATCTGGAGCAGGCTTATGACAGTGTTCCTAGGGAAAGAATATGGCCAGCACTGAGAAGAGCGGGTATTAATGAATCCACGGTAGAAGCAATTCAACACTTGTATAGAAGCGATCTGTACAGAGTGAAGATTGGAAACCGCCTCTCGGAACCATTTTCTGGAACCAAAGGGCCAAAGCAGGGGTGTTGTATGTCTCCAAGCATTTTCAAGGTATACTTGGATGAGGTAGTGAAGCAATGGATGAGACTAAGTCGAGACAATGACCAGCTCCTTACCCTGTTCTTCGCAGACGATCAAGTAGTGATGGCCCGGAAGAAAGTTTTCCTGGAGATGGTGATTGTCCAATTAAAGAAAGCTTATGAAGAGGCAGGTCTCAGGATGAACTTCCAAAAGACTGAGTATATGGCACTGGGAGATGAGGAAGACTACCTACGCAAAGGTGAACAGGTATATAGAAGAGTAAAGGCATTTAAATACCTTGGGTCCTATCTGGACGATGTTGGAACATCCGAAGTGGATGTCTGAAACCAGGAAGAGATGGCAAGAAAAGCTACTAGAATGCTGCATCCTTTTCTCTGGAACGACACTATTTCAAACGCGAACAAGCGGCGTATCTTCACGGCTATTGTCGAGTCCATATTAACCTATGGATGTGAGGCATGGTCGATGAATGCAGGCTTATATGCCAAAATTCGGACTGTAGAAATGGATTTTTGGAGAAGGTGTCTACAGTTAACGAGGCTGGACAGAGTCCGAAATGAAGTGGTGAGACAGAGAATAGGTACAGAGGAGACCATCTCTGAGAGGATCAGAAAACGGCGATTGAGGTGGTATGGGCACTGCAGGAGAATGTCGGAAGAGCATAGGCGAGGACGACTGAGAACCACGTGGATGGAAGGAGTCCAAGAAGAGATGGCCGGCCGAGGTCTACAGGAGGGTGGCTGGGAGGATAGAGATGTGTGGAGCTCTGCTCTGACCTGAAGAGATATCCCACATTGGAACACCGGAAATAAGTAAGTAAGTAAGTAGTTTATTTATTTTTTAATTATATATTACAATAAACAAAAATTATTTTAAAAAGTAAACTTTTACCTTTGAATAAACTTTCAAGATTATACAAAAATATACGACGTATTGTTATTCCAACACCTTCATCTTTTTGGAGACTCATTATATAAACATATTTACAAATGTTATCAGCATTTGTAGAATCCATTAAAGAGAATCCAATTATTCTTTGAATAATTTCTCTAAAAAAAGTAATGATAATAAATGAGATATATTTTTCTAAATTTAAAACATACTATTTTTAGAAAGAATGAAATGAAATGAAAAAATAATCATTGGGGATACATTGTCCCTTAAGAATCTACTACAGATGTCAAACCCAGCAGGAACTTGAATAATAAGAATCATATTCATATTTTGTAATACGGTTGAGTATAATAATAGAGCTACAGTAGTTCATCCGTAATTAGTAGGCAGCGATAGGGCAAACTCATGAGGTACTAAATTAAAACAGATAGGTTTATATTTCTTACTGTCTAATATTATTTAAAATTGTATAAATATATTATTAAATGAAATTTAACTGTAATTTATGTGTATATTGTAAATATTTTGTAAGTAGTTTTGGAGTCTAAGGGAAAAAAAGTTAGTTCTAACTTATAGCTACACGAATTCGCCCTCAGACTGCCAACTAATTGTAATTTATATTTTTTATTAAGCATAATAATCCCTTAGGAAATATTATTATTATCGTTTTTTATAAATATGGCACATAATTTAACGAAACCCCACTGAAACACGGCTATATCATACTTAACAGCTCTTAATTGAACTATAGTTCAACCCAAATATGCCTATTTCAATCAATAAAAGTTTCTAATACAATCACTTGTATAAGGACGAACAATTTTTGAAATTATTTATTTTAGAAAACTTTTTTTTCCTAAATCATTGTATCATCCACACATTCCAATATGCTTCTTAAACTTTCTACATTCTTTTTCTAAGAATGTAGTTTTTTCTAAGAAAGTTTATAAAGCATTCTACTTACTTAAGAACTATTTTGGACTGTGCTTATACCTCTAAGATTCATTCAGAAATTTTGAGGGGAATTATCAGTACCTTATGCTCAAAGACGCAAAGGTTAATAACATCACTAGAAAAAATTTAAACTCACAGAAAAATGATTTGAAGGGAACCCCAGCAAACCTTGGAATTAAAGAATATAGAAAAGGACCCCAACTGACAAGGGTCTCTGCTCAATAAGCTCCAACCCCAACTGAAAAGAATCTAAGAGGCGGGGTGGCCGAATGGGCTAACGCTTATGCACAGAACCACGAGTTGCCCAGCAACCAGATAACCAAAATTATGAGATTAAAAAAGAACGAGTTTGCCTCCTGGTGGCGAAGGGAATTTTAATCTAACTTCCAGAGTGTTTTTATTTCATTACCATCTGGCCTTTCGTTTCAAAATAGTGGCAGAAAAACGTGTGTCGCTATAGACTGTAGCACAAAAATGACTGTAATGGTTTTAATGAAACTAGGTTAAAGTCTTCTCCTTAAAGCCCTTAAGCTTTAAATGAAATGAAAAATAATTTTATTCTGGGAATGAAATCCTCTTAGAATAATAGCAGAGTTAAAAAAATATATCCATTAGTCTGGTATGTAGATATAATACAAATATAACTATACAAAAAATACTATAGAAAATACAAATATATACAGGAAATACTGAGAGAAAAAAGTAAATAAATAAAAATAAAACGGTTTTTATCAATTAATCAACATTAATTGATAAGAACCGTTATCAAAGCTAGTGAACAATATAATTACATAACCTAAAAATTCCTACAAGCTTGCACAAGTTTGAATTTGTAGTAGGTGGTGGAATAGGAGTTGTTTAAAGGAATTTATGGATGTGGTTTGACGTATGAAGATGGGTAAGGAAATCCAAAAGGAGATAGCACGAATGATAAAGAATTTAATCAAGGAAGGGAATCACATGGGAAGGGAATATATAGATCTATAGGTAGAGATCTGGGATTGAGAGTGGATAGAGGAACATAGAGTAAGGAGTTCTAGGATGTAGGGAAAGGAAGGGAATTAATGAGGTACCTGGAGCCGATGAGGATGGCCTTAATTTTATCTGCAGTCAGCTTCAGTTAATTTTTTTTTATACCGGTTACAGTAGTGTTCACTTCATGAGTGTAGTTTATTTTTCAACTACAATTTTTATAATTCTACACTTAATCAATTTGTCTATAAGAAGAGGGTAATCAAATTTCTTAAGAGGGAGTATGCACCATCACTCTGGGGGAAGGAGGGAGATACCTCTAACACACACGAAATGAACATTATAGTAAACGGTATAGCTCAATTCCACATTTAATATTTGAAAATCTGAAACATTGAAATGATACTCTACATTTATAAAGCGTAGAAGTGTTCTTCTAATACCATGGTCTTCTAATACCATAGTGGTGTTGGAAGACCTTGGATTTGTAATAGTCAGTTGTGCCAAATATCATCAATATAAAACGTGCCAATTAACAAGAGCAAGTAACTGATTATCCAATTTGGTACTGGTTCCCTTTCGCTACTCCAAGATAATGGCTAGTTTCAAGATTACCCGGTGCACACTATGTAATGTGATTTGAATAAGAGATAAGAAGTTTTATATAATTTTTCAACTATTATTACCATACCAACTTAAACATAACAATAGCTAAACATTCAAGTAACTATATATAATTTATATCCAATGCTACATTGTTACCAAGTTCCAATACTCCTGACTAGGGCTACCATTAATTAGGCCAGATATTCTATGCTTTATTGTATTTAAAAAATTAAAATAATAAATAGGGCATACTCAATTATATGTTTAGTCATCGGCCTTGACATGAAACAATTAGATAACACTTGATAAACACATAATGCATCCCTCTTCACTCCAAACAATTTACGGATATTTAGGATATGCTCATTCAAAGCAATTGCTGTCTCCATTGCTATATACACACACAAACAATGATCTGCAAAACAAAAAGTTACATCACTTTTAGGCATGTAAAATCTTATAGGATATGAAACTAATATCAAGATAAAATTTCAGGAGAATGATATTTGACAGGCCAAATTATCACTATAATTGCTTGACACTAGTTAAAAGTTGTAATATAACACAATTTTTTGGCAACACCTAAGCATTTTAACCAAAGATATCTTACAATAAAAAAAAGGGTTAATTTAAAGTTTACTCTTATCTTAAACATGATAGTATTTAAAAAACTAATAAAAATACCTTCAATAATAATGAAATTTGCAGTTAAAACTAAGCCAAAGCTTATAAGCTTCTCAAATTACGCTTTTGAAACCTACCATAAGTTGGAATAAATATTGAAATAGTAACTGAAGTTAAGCTGAAATAGCAGAATGTAATTACTTTCCAATATATCAGTAAGAAAGCTTGAATTAATTCTTCCAACAAAACATACAATTCATTCTAAGTATATAAAATTATATACAAAAAATGCAAACTACAAAATAGAAAATGCATTCTTTACACAAAACAAGAAACAGAAATGCCAACTTTCAAAAAAATACATTACAAACCAAATCTCTGAAATGTTCCATAATCTATTTTTATTTTTACAACTTATAAAAATATTTTTGTGATTCTGGCTCTTATAATTGACTGTATGTAAAAGTATAAGACTTAATTTAATTTTCTATAAACTTGGTTAAACAGAAACTTAAGATCTGTACCATACAGGAATGATTTGAAACAATTTAAGAAATCACGACACTAAATTTCCATAAAAAGTATGCTTATTACTTTATATATATATATATATATATATATATATATATATATATATATATATATATATATATATATATATATATATATATATATAATAATTTTATTTAAAACATGAATTCTTATACAGTTTGGCAGCCTGGTTTCTCTAATTACTTGAGTCACTTCTCTGTTGAACTGTTGACAGAAAAAAATAAGTAAAGACTTCGCAATACACGAACACTAGCGGATCCAGGATTTAATTTTGGGGAAGGGGCTTCATTCCGATAGGGTTTTTTTTTTTTTCATATATACAACGATAATTACTTTGGGGAAAAAAAGAAATTAACTACCTATATGAAATAGTGTTTAATTATACAAACAATAATACTTTAAAAGATATTTTTTTCCATAAAACAGGATGAAAGTTTACCATTGGGGAGAGGAGATCTTTAGCCCGAAAGCTCTCCCCTCCCCGTATATCCACCTGTGTACAGGAGTGCCCAGAAGGGGGGTTTATGGCGCAAGTTTTTGAGAGGAGCATATTTTGACGGAGTTTTGAATTTTTGAGGGGGCACATTTTAACGAGGTTATTAATTTTCGGAATGGAAATTTTCAGAATAAGGAACAAGAGAAAACTGGAACAGACCGCAACAAGTATAATTGTGTATGATCTATTATTTTTCTAATTCTACTTTCCCTTGCTCTGTTTTTAAGAAAAGTTAGCAATGAAATATCTTGGGAGGGGGGTGGAGAAGGGATAAGTTCTTGCGTCAACGACCTTGGGGGGAATGGGTACTCCCGTTTCAATCGATGTCAGATAATGATAATATAACGATCCTTGAATTCGCTGAATTGAATTTAATTCGCTTATTGAATGTAATTGAAAAAAAAAATTGTAATCCTAGTTTTCAACAGTTTCAAGGTCCCTTGAGTTCAAATAAATAAGTCTCGCAAAAAGCTGTGGATGTGTACTTGAAGATGTAAACATAAGCAACACTGAAATTACGTATTTAAGTAAGCCTCGAGGTGTAACAGTAAAATTTTCTCTAAGATCGACTTACCGGAAGTGTCACTTTATTTATTTATTTTTTATTTTGTGGCTTTATGCATAGGCATATTAGCCAATATACCAATTCATATTTCATTCATTCATAATTCATATGCTTAACAATTTATGTTATTAGAAGTGATCAGGTTGTATAAGGCGTAAATAATTTTTGGCCTATGAGTTAGTGTAAGGATAGTAGGAATTGTAGGGAAGGATCAATGTTCTCGATCACGGCTCTAACTATTTTGATTAAACTAGTTATGTCCATGCACTAGCGGATCCAGGGTTTAATTTTGGGGAGGCGCTTCAGTCCGAAAGCTTTTTTTTTCATAAAAAAACGATAATTAATTTGGAAAAACAGAAAGAAACTAACTATCTATATGAAATGGTGTTTAAGTGATACCTTAAGTCCTTTTAAATGTAATTGCACGAACATTGATACTTTAAGAGCTATTTAAAAAAAAAAAAATTTCCATAAAACATGGTTATATTTTACCATTTTGGAAGGGGGAATCAGCTCGAAAGCCTCCCCCCCTCGTAGATCCGCCCGTCGGCCATGTAAATTGAATACTATAATCAATTCTTATCGTAGGTGTCTGTTAGGTCTTATGCTTAATGAAATAGTCTGACGGGACTTAAATGCTCCATTTTCAAACTCTTCATCAAATGTATGAGAAATAAATTTTGTTTATTGGAAATAATTAAAGTAGATACATTGTTGGTAGTAATTCAAGTTTATAAATATGAGCTATTAAAGAATTTGATAATTAACCAAATAAGAAAATCGAAAACAATAGTTGTAACAAACTCCTTTTTATCAAATCATTAACATACGTCTAAAACTTCGTGAATAGGTTCATATTTTCGTAACTTAAAACTTTTTTTATTTACGAAAATTCTAGGAAATGAGCTCAATTTGGAGATCTGTAAACTTTGTTTAATGCAGTACTAAAAACTGAAGAACACTCATTTGCTTTTTGCTGAAATTTTAAGATAATTTGATCACAAAATCGAGAAAAAAAGGTGAACTACAAAAATATTGGGCCGTTTGGAGTGACCTTTTTGGCTTGAAATTAATTAATTTAATGAGAAGACGTCCCATTTCTTCGAATTTCCGTAGATAAAAAAAGTTGTATATTAAGATGAGGTGAAGCTATTCACAAAGGTTTAGACGGATGTTAATAACTTGATAACAAAGGGCCTGGAGAGCAGACTATGGTAATATAGATGTATGAAATGCCATTGCATTGCACCATCGAAGATGATGGCAAGTGACGGGAAGCCCATGACTTTTAATTGCTGTAATTAAGAATGTCTACTTTTATATCATTAAATGCTAAAAAACGTTTCCATGTAATCTAAATGGAATTTCAATTGAAAATATATGGAATTTCTATAGAAAATAAATAGAAAACAATTTTTTTTTTTAACTTGATATATCAGAATTATATAGCGCACAAAGTTTTCATGACACCTGAAGTTTGTATTTATAATTAATGGTATCTCTGATAAAATAATTATAATTGAATTTAAGTAATATTCTTAAGGTTTATTAACTGTTTAAAGATTTTATATCTACTGAAATTAGGGTGTAAATAAAAATTGTGTAATGCATTGCACCCAATTACATACTACATACAAGCATTTTAAACAATATTTGTCTTTGACATACAACTTGATCAATGTTGTTTGTTTATGGAAAAATATAAACATTTAATGGATAGAAACATTGTCAAAACTAGAAATTGTTTTTTTTTTTTCGAATGATAAAGCTAATAAAATTTTTCGAATAATGTGAAACTAGTTTTATAGTTATTTGTGATAAGTAAAAAACGTTTTATTTTCAATTTATGAAATTGATATAATATTGCCAACGAATTAGGGGTTCCAGAAAGGGAGTGGCATGGCATAATTTGTGTCAAAAATATTGCAGAAAATACATTTTTACGGAGTTATACATTTTTTAAAGGAAGTATATTTTTCAAGTTATATTTTTGGGGAGAGAATCCAATTTATGTGAGATTCCCTATTTGGAGGAACTTACTCAGCAGAAAACTAAGAAAAACATGAAGCAGACTACAGCAAGTGTAATTGTATAAATGCTACAATTTTTATAATTCTACTATGACGCATCGTTTTTAATTTATTGTTTACTCGAATTATGTTTTTAGATGAAACATTTCACAAATAGTTTCCAATAATTCAGCAAATTAGAACTCCATTACAATAAACAACGATGTGTTTATTATTATAAGCTGTTTTTTTACTTTCACTTACCTATATATGTAGTAAGGGAAAGTATTGTGATCCTGAAAACTTTCAAATCTGAGTTTTCAACTCAAATACTTGTTTTGAGATAACCAAGTCCCGCAATATGGTGTGTGTATGTAAAGAAAAAAAGCAAACTAAAACTTTTGAAAGAATTTGATAATTGAATAAAAGAGAAAAAAAGAAAAACGCTTATCCAGGTCAAAAATAAATCTCCGGAATTAATCGTCAGATGGTATACGTATAATATATCGTTGGAATGCGGAGAATTTTAGAAAAAAATAATATCTAATAAATAAAGTTGTAGAAGGTAACGGAGAGTGACGAAAAAATGTAAATAATAAGTTCTGAAAATTAACATTGATAAATCACATGTTTTCAAGGAAATTAAATCAAATTTTATTAAACCAAATCAAGATGACATTGTATCATTTCATTGAATTTGTGTGAAAGAAGAAGTGAAATAAAATATATATTTCATGGATATGCTTATAACCTTAAATACTTTTACTGTAGCATAATAATTCTAGATCTGATACTATATTTAAATAATTAGTTATCTATCATCCGTTTATTCCGAAAAAACATCATGTAAACTATTAGTAAACCATTGTAAAATTAAAATAGTGAATAATTTGATGAATTTCCCCTTTGTGATATCCCAACAGTATCCACTTACAATTAGTGTGACAACTTTTGACATATCTATGACAGGCAACCCACAATTCATAATTCAATTTTAGTGAACTTTGCAATGGGAAATGACAGTTTAATACGTAATAGTTGTACAATCCATAATCAACCGTCGATATAATAAATAGGATTTTTGTTATTTTAATGGTATTAATGATTTGTTAGCTGTAATTTTAAAGCTTCAGCTCGGTTAAAAATGCATTTCAAAAATTTTATAATAGCCCAACATTGCCAGAAAATAATTTCTATTCAAAGTAGAGTGGTATATGAAAGTTGTGTGTTGCGCGCATCATAGTTTTAATTAAGCAATAAGCAATATACGTACATCAGAAAAATAAATGAAAAGATAAACAATTGTTTGAATAACCACTTTTAAATAAATAAACTATAGTGTACTTTAACAATCAATCAATTAAAATTTTTATTTTAAAAAATAAATACCTTCAATAGCTTCTAGCTAAGCAAAACATTTGAAATCACTGATGAATAATCACATAATAAGAGAGAACACGAGGACTTATTGTTTTTGTTTTGACTTGTCTTATCAAATCCTTAGTGTAAACAATCGAGGATAATCTTTAGTGAACAATATCATTAACAATTGGCACAATATTACATAATATAAAACAGTTTAAGAAATAAATGTATTTTTTTTAGGGATGGGGAGATGTCGTCTTTTCCCGAGGCCACCGAATGTCTAAGGTCGGCATTGACTCAAAATATGATATTTTTCCAGCCCACTTTATGCTCCACAATAGTACCAAATTGTTTGCCAAATACACATTTGAAAATATCGATATATTGGTGAAAAGTGAAATATTTTCTTTCACACATGAGACATTTGCTGTCGGTCATTGTCGAATATCTTTTCACATTCCACGGACTTGAAGAACCACTACCCTAAGGGTTTCTGAATTTTACTAAAATAATAAGTTTAAAAATTCGTGATACTTCGAAATTTATATTGAAACTTACAAGTATTCTTAACTTTATAAATTTTGGTTGTTGGCTGCATTAATTTTAGTAATTCCTACTTTTCCGCACACGTTTTAATAAACAGTATCAAACGATTCACTATGTAAGAGGATGCCCTATTTCTTTCCACAACAGTGTGGCACATTGTTAGCCAATGTTACGTTGACTAAAATAGCTAAAAGTTTGATTTAAGTCCATATATAAACAAAAGCTGGTGCGGTGGGCGCACCACACAACTTTCATTTATCAACCTCTTAGAAGAAATAAGTATTTTCAAAGGGGAGTGAAAGTAAAAATATAGACAATATGAAACATATTTAAAACAATTAATTATCATACGTTTTTCTCAGCCATCCAATTTATCATATTTATTTTGTTTGGCAATATCTATTTCCTTTTACAATCGTATATTTCAATTATTTATTTGATTATAATAAATAATTAAGTGCCACGAAATATTTTTAGCCCGACAAGATTGTCATTGATAAATAAGGCCGCGCTTTATTTATTTATATTTCATTGTGGGTATTTTTATTTATTTAAGAACCGGTATATATACACATTTTAATTTGTATATCGCTGTGATCTATACAATTAAATATTAAATAATACAAACGATATCATTTATGAAAACTGCATATGTTTATAGTCGGAATCCGTGTTGTATAAAGCACATGCTACACATAGAAGCCTGTTTTAATCTTTCGGGCGTGCTCGGATTCCTTTGATCTCTCTATTACAACAATTCTTATTTCTCCTTTAGTTAATTATCAAATTCCTTCATAATTTCTATTTAACCATTTTTTTATATTAGAGTTAATTGTGAAATGGTTAATTATTTCAAATTAAAAAAAATAAAGGTACTTTAGAGGAAAAAATATTTAAAATTAGCCATTTGAGCTCTGTTAGAGAACATCAATGAGAATAAAAATTACATTATATTAAAGACTGCTTAATTTTACACTGATAAAAATGAATTTAATCGAAATCGTTAGAGCCGTTTTTGAGAATATCGTAAAAATGTGTAAAATCCATTGTATAAAATGCCATTTGATGAAAAAATTACTGTAACATCCCAGGTATGCACAAATCATAAATATGCATACACATACACACACACACACAGACCGTTTTGCGGGCCTTGGTTATTTAGACTCAGGAGAGTTCAAACTTTGAAGTTCAAAATGTGCATTTCCGAGGAGGAAAACTGAGATTCGAAAATTTTCACGATCGCAATATTTGACTATATATTTCATATTTAGGTAAGTGAAAGTAATAAGTGAACGAGATATTAAAAACACAAGTACAAAAAAAACACTCATAAAATGTACCAATTGTCAAATTTCATTCATATATAGTACAACTTCGAATTATATCAAGAGCCACTAGCAGATTCAGGATTTAATTTTGGGGCTTTTTATTTTATTTAACGGTAATCACTTTGGAGGAAAACAAAAAGCAACTGTATCCTTAAAGACCTAGAAAAAACAAAATACTAAAAAATATTAATTACAGGAACAATAATGCTTTTAGAGATAATTTTTACTTTAACTTACCGATATATGTGTGTATATATATATACTTATAGTAAGAATAAGTATTGCGATCATGAAAATTTACGAATCTGAGTTTTCAAAGGAAATACACGTTTTGAGGTCCCCTGGAGTCGAAACAACCAAGTCCCGTAAAATGGTCTGTATGTGTGTGTGTGTGAGTGTGAACAGTGTAGCTCAAAAACAAAAAGTGGTACGAAAATGATATTGGGTATTTAAGATTTTTATATTCCATGGATGTAACATCAACTTATTCATCAAAATCGGCAAACCGGGTGTGGTACTTAACACATTTTACGATTTTCTCAAAAACAGCCTCTAAAAATGTTGATTGAACTCTCTGGGTCAGTGTATTATTAAGTTATTTTTAATTTAATGTAGGTTTTATCCTCATCAATGCAACCTGACAGGGCTGTAATGCCGGTTTTTTTCAAAATGTCTTTCTCTAAAGTACCTTTATTTTTTTAATTTTAAATAATTAACCATTTCACATTTGAACCTGGTATAAAAAATGATCAAATATATTGAATGAAGAAAATTGATTGCTAGCTAATGGGGAAATATAATAGGAAGCGATATGATATAAGGCACTAGCGGATCCAGGATTTAATTTGGTGGGAGAGGGGGCTTCAGCCCGACAACTTTTTTTTTCATATATATAACGATAATTACTTCGAAAAAAAAGATAGATACTAACTACCTTTTTAAATGATTCTTTAAGTCCTATTAAATGTAATTACACTAGCAATAATACCATAAGAGATAATTTTTTAATATTTTTTTTTCCATAAAACATGGATACATTTTACCATTTTGGGGGAGGGGGGCTTCAGCCCAAAAGCTCCTCCCTCTCCCCCCATAGATTTGCCTGTGATATAAGGTATGTAGGAAGCTCAGTTAAGCCAAGAGCACCAAACCTTTACTTATCCTCTCACTTAACAGACAGTCAAGACCCCTCTGTACAGGGCTTTCATACAGGGGCGGATCTACGGGGAGGGAGGGAGCTTTAGGGATGAAGCCTTTCCCCTCCCCCCAAAATGGTAAAATATAACTATGATTTTTGTGAAAAAATATTAGAAAAATTATCTCTTAAAGTACTATTATTCGTGTAATTACATTGAAAAGGAATCACCATTTCAGTTAGTTTCTTTCTTTTTTTTCAAATTAATTATCGTTATTTTTATGAAAAAAAAAAGCTTTCGGACTGAAGCTTCCCCCGAAATTAAATCCTGGATCTGCTAGTGCTTTCATATTATTAGTTTAACTTTTATGTATCACTCATCCATAATTTTTTTTCTTTGGCACAAACACATAACCCTTGTTTCGCTTAGCTTAGTTAGGTAATAATTTATATGTTATGTATTACCCATATAATATTGAATAATTTAATCTTATATCATATAATAATATTAATTTTACAAATAGTGGAAAAGCAGTATTAATCCACTAAAAATATTTATTTTCTTTTAATTAATAATTATATTTTTTTTAATTTATAGTAAAAAACAAATTTATCAAAGTCATCCACGTCAACAATTTTGGAACATATTTAATGCTATAAATTTTAATGTCATCAATAAGTTGTATTTATTCTACTTTGACAACTAAATAATAAAAAAATGTGGTGCGCGCATCACACGACTTTCATTTCCCATCCTCTTCTTAGGAGAAATAAGTATTTTCAGACAAAATGGAAGTGAAAGTAAAAATTATAGACGCTATATTTATTTACTGTATCTGCTTTAGGTAATTATAAAATTCTTTCATATTTTATATTTAACTATTTTTTGTATCAAAGATTAATGTGAAATGGTTAATTATTTCAAAAAAAAAAAAAAAAAAAGCCATTTAAGCCCTGTTAGAGAACATCAATGAAAATAAAACCTCAATTATATTAAAAACTGCTTAATAATACTCTGATATACTGAGTTTAATCAAAATCATTAGAGCCGTTTTTGAGAAAATCGTAAAAATGTGTTAAATCGATTATATAAAATACCACTTCTGGTTTCTCGAAAATGTTGCAGTAACATCCAGGTATTATAAAAATCTCTAGTATGCAATTTCAGTTTCGTATACAAACACACACACAGACCATTTTCCAGGACTTGGGTTATTTGGACTCAAGAGCCCTCAAAATGTGTATTTCCGTTGAAAACTCGAGATTTAAAAATTGTCAGGATCGCAATACTTACTCTTAATATATATTATATATATAGATAAGTAAAGGTAAAAATTAAAAGACGGAAGAAATTAAAATTATTAAAATTACTTCACAAAATACAGAAAGCAATCAAGATTACAAGGAACTTTATTTCTGTTTACAAACCACAATCAAAATTTTTAGATATTAATTGTGTAAGGATAAAACTTGAAATAAAATAAAAACATTATGTAAAACTCAGTTTACAATAGATTATATTGTATTGTAGGCTGAATTGCAGTAGACAAAAAAGCAAAATTTTAATTCAACATTTATTAATACAAATCTTTAACAGAGTTTACACATATTTTTCTAAACATGTTGATACATCATAATTTTTTTTTAAGGGTCACATCAAAAGAAACTTAAGTACAGGCCATTACATATTTATTGAAAAAAAAAAAAGTAGACTGAAAGAGTATTAAAACTTTTCAACAATAAACTCTCAAAATATCATGACTAACACAATTGCACTACACAGATAACATTCTTCAACAATACTATATCAGATATTGTAGATCATAATGATATTATTATAATTAGTTTGTTGACTGTGCTTGACAAAGCATCTTGTTCAATACAGTTAAAACTCTTCATTTCAATTGAATGAAAATTAACTTGATAAATAGTAATTTCAAGAAATTATTATTCATTTCTAATGTACCATACTAAATCAATAGTAATATAAAAGAATCGATTAACACAAAATTACTTTTTTCCTATAGTTAATTTATACATTAAATGCTTTGCCATTACAACAATTTATTAGAAATATATTTTATGAGAGATTTACAAATAAATCAAACAAGTATTTAACCTTGTAACCAACAAAAAAGTGAGCGATTCGAAGAGTTGTGTTTATTCTATATTCCTAAAATTAGCTATCTCAATAAATTGAGCAGTTATTTAAGTATGAATCAACAAATAATCATAATTATTATCCTACCACTAATAATTTAAAACAATAAGCAAATAAAATTCTCAATCTAAACCACAAATTTATAAATCACATCATACTTTCAATTAAAAAAACAAAAAAAAAAACATAAATAAAATATTCTTTTTATATGCGAAAAAAGGTAACAAAAATTATTAGCACATTTTATAAAATATTCTCTTATCTAATCATCTATGCTTCTAATCTAGCAACTATCAATTGGCCCACAGTCTTTGCCAGAATATCACAAAATTAATGACTTTTTTATTAACAAAATATTAAATTTATAATTTTAAATAAATTATCTTGGCAGTTTAATCTTTACAAATAAAACCCATATTAAAATAAATTTATAAATGAGTAGAAAATATTAAAAACAAAATATAAAGTATAATTTTGGCACAATTTAAAAAAAATAACAAAAACAAACAACAGAATTCATAACGATTCTATTCTTTAGAGTCCAAAGGTTGAATTAATAGAAGACAAAAAAAAATTAAAAATAATTTCAAATTATTTCTTTGATTTTTTATGTCAGTATCCAAAAATAAATTAGACAATCATTATTTGGAAAATATACTATATATTTCTTCAAAAACACATCAATAAAAAAAAATTATTTTGAGAAAATTAATTAAGTAGTTAAAATTTAAAAACAAGAAATAACCATGTTGTTATTATAGAATAAAAAGCGATATTTTATCCCTTAGGCCAGGGGTTGAAAAAATGTATTATCTCTGGAAGACTTCATTTACTATACAGTTTCCTTAAAAACACAAGTCACCAAATCATCTAAATAAGTCAAGAAAAGTAAAATGGAATTGAATGTCTTAAAGCCAGTAGATAACAATTGAAGTTTATATATATATATATATATATATATATATATATATATATATATATATATATATATATATATATATATATATATATATATATAAAAGTAGATAAAATTATAGTGTTTATGTATGATTTACGATAAAAGTGGTCAAGAACAGTATTTCCTATTCTTATTTATCAGAAACTGAAATTGTTATTTACCTAGCAAGAATATTTTCGGTACTAGTTCACAAGAGTTCGGCACGGATTATGCGTGGTTCACAATCAGTTTGATCACACTTGTTCATGGAATCCCAAAAACAGCCAAATGTTATTTTATTTTATGACGTCAGCTATTGTCCCATCATTCGCATGATGGGACCCCATGATCGCACACAATTCGTTTTCATGCATTTTTGAAAAAAAAAGTATCCCTTTTATGGAACTTCCTTATTAACAAATAGTGTATTTACTAATTAGTAAATTATATTTATATAATATAATATAATTATAACGGTCGTTACTGTGAAAGAAAAGGAAAAAATATATAAAATAATGTTTGAGTCGTTTCTTCAAAGCCTGTTAATAAAAATGCTTTTAGAAATAACATTTTTATTGACACGTGCTTACATGTAGTGACTGTAAATACGCATATACTGTTGTATATTATCTTTTATAACTGTGTAAAAGATTTTTTATCATTTGGATAATAAATAATCTGAAATTATCTATTATCTTTTTATTTGTTATTCGAGTTTTTCAATAGAAGTTGCAATAATTGAATTTATAATTTATTTTAGCAAACCTGTTTTAGAATTATATTAGAGATTTTAGAAGCCTATCTAGTTTATGTAATTTTTTGGATTTCTAATAATAGTTAACTGTTAACTTGAAATTTATTTTTTCGTTTTAATTGCTATTATTTTTATTGAATGAATTAGCTGTGTAATTATTGCTATTCGAAATTATTTTGCTTGGTAATCCTTGGTAATAATTGGTTAAGACTATAGAAGTACTTAAATGGCAGAAAAGTTAATAGTAACTGACTCAAGAAATCGGTAGCCTTCGTTCTCTTTCAGATAAACGCGAATGCATTCGGCACTCCATGAACAAGTGAGATCGAAGTGATTGTAAACCAAGAGTAATCAGTGCGGAACTCTTGTGAACTAGTAGCATATTTTCATTAAACATTTTTTTTTTTTTAACTAAGTGCTTTAAACAAAAAGTATTCCTTTATTTTTCTACTAGCAGTTTTATGTTAAGTTTTAGTCGAACTTCAATTTATTGTTAAAAAAAAAATTAATTAAAGAAAGAACAAAATTGAAGATTTTGATTTCAATTGGTCACTGTTTTTTTTTTTCAAATTTCTTTGAAAATAATTCATAGCTTCGCATTCAAGAATTTTAGTGTTACTTCTTAACAACACATATATAAGTAAAGATTAATCCTTTCCGAACCGTTACTGCTAAAAACAATCCAATAAACTAGTTTATTATTTACTTTTATAACACAATTGTAATCCAGTTTTGACTTTTCCAATCTACAATACATAAAACTGTATTAACTCAAATCAAAACCACTTACATTAGTAGGGTATGATCATTTGTATGAATATTTTATTTCATTTTTTATTAGCTGCTTTATGGTGAATTCTTTTTAATTAATTAAGTAAAATTATAAAGAATACTTTGCAATTGTAAAGAATTTGAAAGTAAGAAAAATATTACAATTATATTTTTTACAGAATGAAATTTTTAATTCTCTTTATAATAAAACTTATATATTGCCAATTCAATGGAGAAATATAAAATAAAAGTTGAGGGTGATTCCGTTTTCAAAATATAACTATCTTACCTCATTCATCTGCCATAATTTGTGAATATTTAAAATAGAATAATTTAACAAACATTTAAACCAAGAAAAAAACACTTCCCAGCCACTTTAAACAGCAGCAACACATTTACTTAAAGGTTTATTGTAAAAAGACATTAAGCAACATTTTATAAAATATATTGCATCAATAAATATGACCAAGAATTGCAAATATGTATTTAAAAGTTCAGCTCCATGAAAAGTGTACTTATAGGAATAAACTGATAATATATATTTATAACCATTGACTTATGAAAACAAATATTTATCTAGAGTTAAATTTGAGTTTTTGCCCTTGTTTATTAATTTAGTTGAATTATCTATTAAATATCTACTGGCATTAGAAATACGCTATAAGATTACAAAAAAATAAAGGAATTTGCTGTAAATGATAAATTACAAATAAGATTTTCTAGCAAATATTTATAAATGCATTAAAATCTTCCAGAATAAATTCTTAGACTCTAAAAGGTTTTTTGACAGTCCTATATAAAGATACCCTGCTTAGTTATGAATTAAAGCAGTTCAATTTAATCAGTCTTACAGATATTTTCATATCTTTAATAGAATCTCCTTCTAAATTAAACACAAAGTTTTTACTCACAATTTCCTATTGGCCTAAAGCCATCAAACATCACTGAATCAAAACTGGACTGTTACCATTACTTCAAAATATTATACACATGCATGTGTAGATATATCAGTGTGCGTGTATGGGTAATATGAAGAAACTATAGTATAATATTATAGAATATTATAATTATATAATTTATAATATTGTAGAATATTACTTAAATGTTTTATGACAAAATAGAAATATCTAGGATTTCAGTAAAAAGAATTAAACTTCATTTTACACATGGTAAACTAAACCTTTACTATTAAAGGAACTAACAAAATTTAGATAAAAAAGATTTTCCAGGCTTACATACATTTTTAAATAAACAATATTTTAATATCTTCTGAAGATATAACAAACACTATTCACAAGTATTAACAAGAATTTCTCAAAACTGGAATGTAACCATCAAAGGAATGTTTCATATCAACTGAATCAGTTAGCACCGTTAGGTCTAAGTTATTTCTAACTTGATCACAATATTCATGCCATTTTAGGCATACTAAATATTCACAACTTAATAAATTAAATAGTATAAAAAATCAAATTTGAATAGAAGACTGAATAATTAAAAAGAGCATGCTTTCCCAAAGCTTTTCTTTCAGTATAACCATACCCGAAGCATGAACTAAGGTAGAAGCTGTGATGGAAACATGTTCATAGCAACGTAATCTTCGATGATCTGTAATGAACAATATTGTAATATTAGTAAATTTAAAAGAAAACGGTAACTACTATTAGAAGTATTAAAATTCTTTTAAAATTAATTAAATTTGCTTATTCTTATTGCATCTCCATAAATTAACTAAATTTATGGATTATTATTTAAAGAGCAGTGCTCAATAGGAGTTAATTGATGTTACAACTACTGTCAGACCTCTAAAATATTCACTTATATAAGTTGAAAATCACTATATATTAAACTTCTTTTAGAAACTTTGAATTTCTATTAAAAAATAAGTTCCATAAATGGAATAAAATTTATAAATATACAGCGTGTCCAGTTAGTAGAGGGAAATATTTAAAAGGTTGATGATAGACATAAAGATCTACAGAAAAGTTCATATAAACAACTACCCAATTTCCAGCATAAAAGTAGGAAATTTAAGATTTGTGTGTTTTTAAATGAGTCACATTGTTTGTTGAATAGGAAGCGATAACATGGTGCGCGCAACATACAACTTTCACTTACCGCTCTACTTTGAAAAGAAATTATTTTTTGGCAATGTTAGGCTATAGTAAAATTTTTGAAGATCATTTTAAATTGAGCTAAAACTTAAAGATAATAAATCATCAAGACCATTTAAATTACAAACAATCTATTTATTACATCGTCAGTAGGCAATAAAAATCCAGTTACTCCATCTGCTTTTATAAACCTCACAACTTCAGTCTCTGAGCCTTTCATTTAACAGAATGACTAACTGCAATTTCAACATTTTTGAGTAATGTTATTTTAGTGATATTTCTAGTTGGAAAAATTGAATCTATACAGACAGTGAGTAAGTTGATTCCAGAGTAGGTGATTGCAATGTTGGAATATAGAACTGTGAATAAAGGTATAAATTTTGCTAATAGAGACAACACTAAAATTAATAATAAATAATGTTGAAACTGGAGTTAGTCGTTCTATCACCCGGAAGACTCATATATGCCTAGAGAGATTTGAAAGTATATCTGAATATTTGACCTATAAATGATTATCGGTTGTAGGACTATTAGTTATTAAACTGTTGTTTTCCATTGTAAAGTTTATTAAATTGATATTACGAGATTTTTATTGCCTGCCATGGATAGGTCAAACGTTGTCACACCAATTGTAAGTGGATAATGTTGGGATGTCACAAAAGAAAAATTCATCAAATTATTCATTAATTTAATTTTCTAAAAGGTTACCTGATGATTTTTTGGAATAAATGGCCAATAGATACCTGATTATTTAAATATAATATTATCTCTAAAGTTATTAAACTACTGTAAATATATTTAAGGTTATAAACATATCCATGAAATATTTTTATATTTCACTTCTAAGTACAATGAAATAGTATTTTAAACAATGGCATTGGCTTGATTCAATGATTTTAAATACTTTTTTACTTTACTTAAGAAAATTTAAAAGTTTACATTTAGTAAGAAAATTTCATTTAATTACCTTTAAAACCTGTGATTTAGATAAAATAATGTTAGTTTTCGGAAATTATTATTTATATTTTTTTCGTCACTCTCCGTTACCTTCTACAACTTTATTTATTTGATATTATGTTTTCTTATATATTATACGTATATATTTTGACTTTATTTCCGGAGATTTATTTTCAATCTGGATAAGCATTTTTCTATTTTTCTCCAGTTTCCAATTATCATATTCTTCCAAACTTCATATTTAGCCTTTTATTACAGTTATTGTCAATAAAAGGGAGTGATTTTTTTAAAATAATCCATATTAAAGGTACTTTAGAGAAAGACGTATATGAACATTGGGCATTTAAGCTCTGTAAAGTACATCAATGGGGATAAGAATTGAATGGTATTAAAGACCACCTAATTATACAATGATACACAGAATTTAATCAAAATCGTTAAGAGCCGTTTTAGAAAAAATTATAAAAATGTGTTTCACCGTTGATATTAAGTGACACTTCCGGTTAGCCGATTTTAACAAAAAAGTTGCTGCTACATCATTTACCTCACTTTTAAAAAAACTTCTTCCTTTAATAAGCTTTAAGTACATTTTAATCAAGTTGAGGATTATTAGGAAAAATTTTGAGATTCACTACAAGTTGTGTAAAGAAATGATGTGATTTTCTATCGAATCACCTACACATACTCTTGTTATTTGAAAAAATTACTACAATTAACTTTTGCAAAGCTTTTATTTCTTGTTTTTACGTTATATGGGATGTATTTTAATAAACATAATTATTTTTAAAAAAACATTTCATTTATACAAATAAAAAAATTAAAAATGATATTTTCCATGAAAATTTGTTATAAAGTTGTGTTTTTCTGCTGTGTTTGTCAGTTTAATAGTCCTCATTAAATACTTTTAACAATGACAAACTCTACTGTTTTAAAAAATTAATTTTTAAGAGCCAAATACATTTTTTAGAATTTTATAAATAATTTTACTATGATACATGATACACATTTTTTTTACTAGAAAAAAATGTGCGCACCACTGGAAATGGACAATAAAGAAAAGTTGGTACAATGTATGCACAATGACCATGTAAAGTTTATCCTGTTTTATTCTTATTCCAAATTACTCTAATATATTTTTATAAATTCAGATCTTTTTTATCTCTAAAAGATTATTCCTTTATAATCAAGAAAATACTTCTACATAACAAACCATAATTTAATTTTTCATGTAATTAAGATACTATATTATCAAGATACTATTAGAATTATTAAAACTTAATTATTTAATCATATTTAAAAACAAGACATGAGAACTCCTCATTCTTATAGATAATGCTTCTTTATCTAGCACTGATGCTTATGGGACAACACCCTGTTATTTTCTAGTAAAACTTTTTTAATGAAAACCCACTGAAACTACAAAGTTAACACTAGAAAGAATAAATATATAGGGAAAAAAATATGTTTGCACTGTTAACTAATTTTGCATTATAAAAGGTTAACAAAAAATCATGCTTAAAAATATAAATAAAACGTTATTGTCATAACAATGGTCTTTAGTTTTATATGATAGATGAAGTAATCCTGTTCAGTGAGGTTATGACCACAAATGTCAAAATCTTACTAAATCAATACCTACTTATAATGAGCTATAGCAGACATGCACTCTAAATTTACTAATCATTAATTTAAAATAAATGATGATTAAATAAATTGTATTTACATCTCTAACTAGCTCCTCGGTAATTTGAGGGTGAAGAAATCGGAAGCCTGTCGATTTAAGCTTAGAATTATCTAGTTTTATATGACGATTGAGAAGTTGTTCTGAAATTATGAACGTAGAGAGTGGAGTATTTTTGATGCCACCTTTACGACAAGCATTTGCCCATGGACCAGCATGTCTGTCATTAGCCTCATCTGCAATGGCCATTATATCTGCCTGTAAAAAATAAATAAATATAAAAGCAAGTATTTACTTATAAAATGTAGCACATCACTTATGATGTATATCTACTTCTATAAAATAAATCAGATCATAAAATAAAATAGCTTATAAGTAGTTTACACAAATGTTTTCAACCATAAATCCTACAAGAATTTTGGTTATAATTTTTTTTTTTCAAACTGTATAGTTATAACCAATACAAATATACTCTTTTCATGTAAAAATTAACTTCAATGCAAGATAGTATATCTTGAAGATAAAAATACAGATGAAGAGCTCAATACTTGTAAGATTTAAAATAGATCAAACAATACAGCTGAGTGGAATACTGATATGTCAGAGCTTTACCTACCGTACTACAAACTGATAGTACAAGGCTGCTGATGTAGGTAGGCTCTACACCAAACACTCTTCCGATGGTAGACATGAGAAGACCTTGTGTGGTCTGACCTTCATCGGAGGCTAGGTAGAGCCCATTAGGAGCCACAGTCGCAAGATGCCAAATTGCCCTCACTAAATCTATAACGTGTATAGTATTCATTCCCACATCTTCTCCCCATAGCAGCTTTAATGGTTCAGTAAGTTCTTGATACAATGGAGTAATTAGTAAACGTCCACCTGAAATACAAAATAAATCTGAGTAAAAAGCAATCAGTAATTTTTAAATTAATAAGTTTATATTGTTCTTCAGGCCAATTCTCGACTAATATTTTTCCTAGGCTAGAACTCTCTATTGAGGATTTCATCATTTCCTAAGCAAAAAATAGAGATGTTTTAATTTAGCAATATCATGAAACTTCAACTTTCACTTGTCCAGCAATGATCGCACCCAAGAGATCTTGTCAATGATAAATAAATGAGAGCCCACGAGAGACAGTTTTCAAGAACTGAGTTTCTATACAGCAATTGCTCAAATTGTTGAGTAGAACAAAATGATAAAAGAGAAAAGCTGGAAAGAGGGATGGTCAGTTTAGTCAACTGCTTAGTCAAATTACTTGTGAATTTGATGAATATTTATTCTGAGAGAGGTTTCCAAATTTTAATACTTCATTTACTTGAAATGAGTTTTGAGCGATTTCCCCCTTTCACCAACTCTTCAAATCTCATATAATTTTTGTCTAAAAAAAAATCTTAAAAACTGTTCTCAACTTAACACATTGTTGGCGGGTGATGAATTAACTAGTCTTTTCATGCCCAGATTTTGTTGACCCGGAATTGCACATGCAATACAAAATAATAGCTGGTGAAATGACATAGTTACTATTTAAAATTGCCAGTAAACAAAGTTTTTTGAAAAATATAGATGTTAAGCAGTTGATCTACCCCAAATGGACACTTCTTATTAAAAGATAATTTCATTTTACCTGCTGAAATCTTATTGATTTAAACCATCTGAAACTTAAACCCATAAGTAGACAGGGATTACAAAAATATGATTTCATTCCAAAGGATATCGTGAAGAAAATGGAAAAATCACTGCAACTGTTTGTAAATGCGAATGAATACAAAAATTGCTTCAGTTTCTTGTTTTTGTTTAATTATTGTAGGATAATTACAATATCTAATTCCCTTATCACTACCAAATGTTAATGATTCTCAACAATTTACTTCTCCCTATTACAGATTTTGTTTGATACAAAATTTAAAAACATTATCTTCATAAAAAAGAAGGTAAACAATAACTAATCTTGCAATTAATAAAAATTATGTTACAACTTTCTGTTTCATTAAAAACTGTTCGTAAAACTTACCTAATGCTGATTTATCACCTTTTCCATATACTATACATGGCCTAATAATCGAATAATTTAAATTTGAGATATTTTTCAATTCTTGTTCTACTTTATATTTATACCTAGCAATAGTAGTCCAAGGAGAAACCTCATTGTCTTCAGAGTGAATTATCTAAAACGGAAAAATTATTGCACAAAAAAATAATTGCTTTTCACAAAATCAACATCATTCTATTTTCTGCCATTCATACCTTATCAGACCACATTTGCCCAGTGGAAACTTCAATGAATTTGTCAACACCGTGTTTTGCTGCTGATGTTGCACAGTTGAGACTGAGTTGGTAAACGCCTTCTTCATAAACTTCATCTTCATGACCAAGTTTAGTTTCTGAAGCACAGTTGACCGCAATTTGGAATTGTTTGCCTTCAAAAGCCTGATCACATGAAGCTAAAAAGCAACGAAGAAATAACTTAGTCACAGTTGACCAAGGAATGACTCATACTTCACTTTAGAGAATGACTTCATACCTGCATTTATTAAATTGGCACTCTTGAATTCCACCTTGGCATCATCAAAAACGGCCTGGTGGGCCTTGTTTAACCATGCTACCTGAGGGGGCACCTTGTCCACAATCCTGACATGGGAAACCAATTCATTTTCGATAAGATACTGTACCAAGTTACGGCCTACAAATCCGCATCCTGTGGGAAATCCAGTGTAAATTAAAGTACTGGATTATAGTACATATATATATATATATCTAAATATTAAACATTTAATGGACTCCTAAGGAAAGGAATAGGCTCATACATAAGATAATAACAAAATTTACCTCCGAAAACGAGGACATTCGGTCTAACCACGTCTCCGTCCGGGCTATCGGCCATCTCTGTTCCAACAGCTGGTCTGGCGCCTAAATGCAACACTTATGACCTTGGTTTTCTTATTTTCTTTCGGAAAGTATAAGTTATCGTAAAGCAATCAATACTATAATTAAATTATAGTTTCAATAAGTTATGAAATAATGTTAAGACCAATTATACCTCTCTTGTACCTCAAAAGGAAAATAATATTGAAATACTACCCCTGAAGATTAACGCTTTGAAGTAACTATCCCCACTATTGTTCCTTCTGATAACGAAGATGAGATCGTTTTTATTTGAACAAAATTATGTTGCTCCTATCAAACGGTAGATTAATTGTCAAAACTGTAGTCATATACTATAAAAGTGCAATATAAAGTACTTACGGATCTTAATCATTAAGTAGAAGACAAATTCAGAAAAAATAAGTTATACATTTTGTTTATTTAATTTTTAAAGTATTTTTGTTTATTTTATTTTAATGATTCTACAAATATAACCAATAGATAATCAGTCCTCGAACAATGTGATGTTTACTTTATGACTATATTATCAATTTGAATTTTCTGCATTCTTCTAAAACATTTTAGTCAATATTTTTCCATTGATTGTCAGAATGAAATGTAAATGAATTAATTCGGATTAATTGAGTTAAAATAAAATAAACATTCCTTACCAGTCTTTTTTATTTTAGTTTATTTGTTTTTTAATTAGAGCTAAAACCTCCTGGTGTTTTGACGGAAATATGAGAAGAATGGATTTGTATAATGGTGTTAATTAGCCATAAGAATTAATTCATGGGTACAGATTTCAGCCCAAATTCCTCGTGTACCAGTACAAGTTAAAAATTCCGAATTTGTTACTAATGAGCACGAAAAACAAGCAGTGGTACTCATTCTCTCCAAACGCATGTACGTTCACTTCCTAAGAAAAATTAGTTTGCTCTATTCGTCTTTATTATGGTAAATGTGAAAGTACTGTAGAATTAAGAAAATGATAGTGGAGTAGCTGAGTAACTTAGATACTGGGCCACTAAGCACTAGGACCCAGGTTCGAACCCGGCTGTGACAGATGATTATTTATTCTGTTTCATCAGCCGTGGATCGACCTTGTGGTTGGGAAAACCTCCTGTGGCACACCCAGTCTCTATATATTGAGTATTCTTAATTAAACAATCAAGAGAAAAAAACCTGACGATTGAACATGACTTGGCCCGATAAGCTCCCTCCACAACCGTTTAGCACTGGAGCCAGGGTCCAAAACTCGACCTAATCACAGGCGAAGGGTTTGGTTATAAATTATGTAAGCGTGTGTTATTCTGAGTAAAAAGAACTTTGTCTGCAGTTCCAGAGTCACTGCTTTAAAAAATGGCGGCTTATTTAAAGAATAGTAGGCCAGTAATTTGAAGATTGAAACGAGAAATCCATTGTGAAAATTTGAGAAAAGTGTTTATTTTTTAATTTGTATACATGGGTTTAGACATGTATAAAACAAAATTGCTAACTCAGGCTACCAGGGGACGGGGTAGCCGGAATGGGCTAACGCGTGTGCACAGCACCGCCCGCCAACCAGATAACCGAAGTTTATGAGATTAAAAAAAGTACGAGTTCGCGTCCCGGTGCCAGAAGGGATTTTAAATTCCCCGCCCTCACCCTCCGGCTCGGAAAAAATCCCGTATAGCTTAAAAGGCGAAGTAGGGAAGAAGAAGGGGAAAAAAACCGTGGGCCACCAAGGGAAAACTTTATACAGCCAAAAAAGTCAGATTTTTTCTAGATTTGTTTTTTCACCTATAACTCCTAAACGATGCATTAAAGCAAAAAATGTACTCTTTAATTGATTAAAGAACGTTAAATTGTGCGTTGAACGGGTACATAAACCTATTAATTTGGTTGTGTGGCAAGATATAAAACCACAGTCAACCAACGCTGATTTTTACCAAATCTGTTTAAAACTGAGACAAATTACTATAATTGGTCCTGCAACTTGGAAATGAGCTCCTTAAGAGGAAAACCTCATAGAGTCGGGGTAGTAAGGCATCAAATTTTGAGTCCAGTGAGTATCAACTAATTTAACTGAAGTCACTTACTTCGAACAAAATCAGTAATCTCCCGATGGTTAGAAATTGGTAATGAAGGTAACCGTGATTTTCAATATTTCAATATCATGGGTGCTTATCCTACTCAGTTATTTTTGTTTAGAGTCTATTACATGCTGTCTAAGCCTCTTTTCCACTTCTCAGCAGTGAAGGGCGACATGTCGAAAGATATCGAATTTCATAAAGGGATAACGAATTCCGATTCGAGGTGTATAATTGGCCTACAATAAAAATGTCAGTATTCAATGGATGCTAAATTTGATGCTCTACAATTTTGATTATATGGGTTTTTCCTCTTAGGGAACTCATTTCCAAGTTACAGAACCATTTATAGTAATTTGTCACGTTTTGACAAATTTGGAAACATCAGCGTTGGTTGACCGTGGTTTTATACCTTATCACGAAGCTAAATCATGAATTTTATGTACTTGTTTTACGCACAATTTAACGTTCTTTAATTTATTAGAGTACATTTTTCTCTTTGATGCAGTGTTTAGGAGTTATAGCTGAAAAACAAAAAAATATCTAAAAAATCTGACTTTTTTTGGTTGTAAAAAGTTTTCCCTTAGAGTCCCTTGTTTAAACCCATATATACAAGATAAAAAAAAAATGCTTTTCTCACATTTTTCGCAAAGGATTTCCCGTTTCGATCCTCAAATTACTGGCCTAATATTCTTTAAATAAGCCGCAATTTTTTAAAGCAGGGGCTGTGGAACGGCAGACAAGGTTCTTTTTACTCAGTTGGCCTTGAAACTTTTATTTCCAAAGTCGTGAACCAAGGCCTTTCATGGGTTGTGGTTTATTTTATTTATTAAAAATTTTAGTTTATAAACAGTTTCACTTATTGTTCAATTTATTTTACCTTGTTGAAAGTTTCTCCAAATTGAAAGTACACAAAAATATTGTTGCCCAAAAAAAACTGACCAGAAAATATTTCCATCTCAAAATTCCATAGTTCCATTAAATGTCACATCATCCTGGTCACCCCTGACTAAAAGAGCTACAAACCTGTGATATGTTTCATTTACCACTCACCAGGAATTCTGTACTCCTCATACAGGATTATAAATTCTTCATCCGAGCTACATCATTCATTTTAGCTAAATATTCTTAATATGATATTCTCAATAATGAGATCCTTTGTTGATTTCGACTTTATTTCACGACATACTTCTAAAATTACAGTCAGCACAATCAACTTATCTTATTGGAGTAGCCCATTTTCAATTTTCGCTATACCATGTAAAACCAACAAGACATCATTTTTAGACCAAATTTCAATCAGGTCCTGATTTCTGGAAGCTTTTTCACTGGCCAGATAAACTTTTACCAAGCTCTCTCCCTTTTTAGAACCTTATTTAAACAAACTGAATGAGTATGGAAAAATCTTTCAGATTCTTGTTGCGCCTTCCATTTGAATATCCACGAAATTCAGATGACTATGATTCTGATTATTTTGTTGGCTGGATGATTATATTCAGCATTATTAATACTTATCCTTCATTGTAGAAGACTATTATAAATTAATAATACATTTTAAATAAAAAGTTGGATGTAATATGAAGTCTCAACTATGAAGTTATCTATTTTTACTTTTTAAAGATAATCACAGACATAATTCATTTTCTGATAAGAATCCTATCAGATTGGACTACTCCTTTTTAATTCCCAGTTTTACTATTCCCATAACAAAACTAATTACATTTACATGGTGGTTACCTAAATATTAGAAATGGATTAAATAATATAAAAATGTAGTATCAAAATTTCTTTATTAATAATTATAGCAATTATTTTGCATATTGACATTCTCTAGTGACTAGTTGAAAAAATGATAACATAAATTTACAGGTATTATTAACAATATAGATAAAAAATAATATCTGATGGCCAAGAAAGCCATTTAAAAGATGATTTTTAAAATTCTTATTACACATGAAATTTTTCATTAATATGATCAAGAGCACTACAAGCACATGAAAGAAATCAAATCATTTTTATAAAACCTGAGCAGTCATCTTAAATATTCCAAAATATTAAGACATGGAGACTAGATCTGTCAGACTGTCGAAGTAAGAATTTGCTAGACTTAAACCAGCAAATCTCTATATATAAATATTTAGCGCTAAAGAACAAAAAATAGCCCCCCTAGTTCATTTTTTTCCTTTGCCAGATTTTCCATTCTTTCCCTGTTTCCTTTTAGGTGGTACTGGTGCATCTGTTGTTTGGTGGGATGAAGCAGGTGGAGTGGCAGGTTGAGAAGAAGTAGCTTGGAGCTTACAGACTTCTGGAGGGACATCGGCAGGTTGGGGTGAAGCTGGACCAGATGGCGGGGTTATAGTTGGAGTACCTGGTTCTTTTTTGCAAACTGGTGCATCTCCACCAACTAAAGGAGGTTGTATCCGTGCTTCTCCAGACTTTAATGATGGTTCTGAAGGAGTGGGTTGTGATGGTACGCCTACGGGTGTTACTGGTGCTGTAGATTTGGGTCCTGAAGGTTTCATGGGACAAATTTGAGGAGCAGTTTCTGGTGTAGATGTGACCGATTTTTCTGTTGGTTTCTCGCCAGAAGGAGCAGCCTCAACAGACTTTTCTAAAGGTGGTGCTACTTCTGCCTTTTCCTCTCTCGGCACTGTTTCCGCTTCAGATATTTTAGTTTGTTTTGGTGCTTCTGCTACAGGCTCTGCTGATTTTTCAGCGCTTTTAAGAGGTTTCTCTTCCAATGGCACTTCCTGTTTGATAGATTTTTCCTCGACAGGTGTTGGTTCTGCTGTTTTCTCTGCAGGAATTTCGACTGGTTTTGAAGATTCAGATGGTTTTTCTGTAGGTGTGGATTCAGCTTTCTTTTCCTTATCTACAATAGTTGGGCTTTCGACTGCAACTGGTGCAGGTTCTGGTAATTTTTCAGTAATAACTGAGGGCTCAGATGGTTTTTCAGTTGCAGCCAGAGTTTCGGGTATTTTTTCTGAACTAACAACGGGTTCCACTGGTTTCTCAGCAGTTACTACAGGTTCTGCTGCTTTCTTAGCACAAGCAACAGGCTCGGCTGATTTCTCAGCAGAAACAGCAGGTTCAGCTGGTTTCTTAGAAGGTGCAGGTTCTGCTAATTTCTCACAAGATGGTACAGTTTCTGCTGGTTTCTCTGCAGATGCTGCTACTGGTTCAGCTGGTTTAGCAGCAGTTACTACGGATTCGACTGATTTCTCAGCAGATACTACTGGTTCCGCTGGCTTATCAGCAGATACTACGGGTTCTGCTGGTTTATCAGCAGATACTACGGGTTCTGCTGGTTTATCAGCAGATACTACGGGTTCTGCTGGTTTATCAGCAGATACTACGGGTTCTGCAGGTTTCTCTGCGGTTATTACTGGTTCAGCTGGTTTCTCAGCAGTGACCACGGGTTCTACTGATTTCTCAGCAGTTACTGTGGGTTCTACTGGTTTCTCTGCAGATACTACAGGTTCCGTTGGTTTCACAGCGGATACTACGGTCTCTACTGGTTTCTCAGCAGAAACCTCGGGCTCTGCTGGTTTTTTCTCAGTTAGTATGGGTTCTGAGGGTTTTTCAACAGATTCTATTTTCTTCTCAGGAAGTACCACAGGTTCTGCGAGCTTCTCTGTTAGTGGTGCAGGAAGCTTTTCTTCAGGCACAATGTCCACAACGGTTGGGGCAGGTGCTAATGGCTGATTTGCTATACCAGCGGAAGTTGCTGCTGGTGCTGCAGGGGCCGATAAGGTTTGCGCTGTGATACCAACACATTCACATATCCTCTTCCAAATATTATCAAAAGAATCCCGTCCTAAATAGTCGACATCTCCAGCTTCCCAAGCCTCTCTTCTCCAGTCATCTGGTTCCCCACGAGCCAACACTCCAGGAACTCCAGCCTATAAAAACAATAATATAATCATTTTTCTTGTATGATTACGCATGTTTACAGCTTTAATTCGACTAAATTATGAACTATGGTTGATTCAGATCATCAATCTGAATAATAATAATAATCAATTAATGAGATCAGGTGATCATAAGAATATTCAGGATTCAGTCAGTAATACCTTAGTAATTAATTAGTGGAAACTAGAACAATAATCAATAAAATTATAATTAATCATCATATTGAAATAATATGTTAAACAATGTTATTATGACTCCCTCTCTAACATAATAATTAAATTATTATAATCATATAGTTATATTATAATTTATGTTTTATTAAAAATGTCAATCTAATCCTTTACTATAAGAAATAAAGAACATTGGCCTTATATTTCAACTTTTTATAAATTTCTCCAAGGACATCAGAAAGTATTAACGATACTAAAGGTTAATGTCAATAAAATCGAAGTTACTTATAGAAATTAGATTAACTCAATAAGAAAAAATATATTCCACTGATACTTACATTGTTCTGAATATGACTTTCATCACAAGTTAGCCTGTTAGAGTTTTGCTCAATGATGTTACAATTTGTTAGCTTATGGTCATGATGCTTGTCAAAAGTATTGTCAGTTTGATTAGATTCGGAAGCTTTCATACCCATTTTGCCTGCTCTGACGCTTGAAACTGGACAGTTGCTCCTTATATCATCATCGTTTTTTATTATTTGCTGATTATTATGTTTATTCAAATGATTTTTTTCTTCTCCAAATACAGTCATTCGGTTTTCGGAAGAAATTATTTTTATACCCGCCGTTCTATGCAGTATTTTATCACTACTATGAGTTTTCAAACTTGCTTTTGGAATGGTAATCGACACATCAATTTCAGTATTTTTTTCCTTATTAGTAGATATCGGAGAAAGTGGATGTTTTTTTGACTGTTTATTTCCCGAAAAATGACTAGATCTAACTATTTTATAGTTAATGTCCGTTTCAGAATCTCTTGTGTCAATTTCCTTGTTTTCTTCCCTAGTTTTAGTTTGTAAAGTTGGAATATTTTGTGTTGGCGCCACTAAATTCGTTCCCATCGCCTCAGATTTTGAAGAAGGTTGCTTTACGTTGAATGGAGTAGGATTGTCCTCCATACTCGGATAAACTTTTACCTCCTGGTTCCGTGTCTTGGTTTCCTTTATATTGAAAGGAGTTGGGTTGTTTTCCACGTTAGGTTGAGCTTTTATTTCATCGTTCCGCATCTTGGTATTTGCAATAAATTGATGATTGAGGTCTTTGCTACTGTTATTTTTCGTTACTTTACTCTCGGAAAAATGATCAGATATAATTATTTTATGGTTAATGTTTGTTTCAGGATCTCTTTTGTCTATTTTCTTCTTTTCCTCATTAGTTTTAGTTTCATATGTTGGGATATTTTTAGTTGGTGTGTCCACTACATTTGTTCCCACTGCATCAGATTTTGAACAAGATTGCTTAACCTTGAAAGGAATAAGATTGCTTTCCATACTCGGATAGATTTTTACCTCCTGGTTCCGTGTCTTAATGTTTGCAGTATATTGCTGATCTTTGCTGAAGGTATTTTCCGAAGGTTTATTTTCGGAAAAGTTTCCAGCTCTAACTATTTTATGGCTGATTTTTGTTGTAGAATCTCTTTTGTTTATTTTCTTGTTTTCTTCACTGGTTTTAGATTGCGGAGTTGGGATACTTGTTGAGGGCTTGTTCATTACTTTCGTTCTCTCAGCTTCTGGTTTTGGAAAAGATTGTTTTAATTTAAAAGGAGTAGGACTCATATCCATATTTGGATAAACATTCAGATCATGACTCCGTTTTGTGGTATTTGCAATATATTGATGATTGAGATCTCTGATGTTTCTCATTTTTATTGGGCTACCACCAGTTTCTTTCTTAGTATTATTACTATTACTGTTTTCCTTATCTTTTTTCATATCAAAACTTTTAACATTATAGTAGGAATGTGTTTGGCTTTCTGGTGTCTGTTTTGGATAATGTATGTAGTTCTCTATTACTTCGTTTATATTACTTGTAACTGATCTCCTATTTCCCTCGTCACTAATATGATTTTGATATCTAAAGTTTTCTATACGACTCATTATAGGCGTCTGTGTTGTCAAATAAGGGGATTCTGGCGAAGCTGTTCGTTCATTGTTTTGAAACGAATTTACGACGGTTGGTGGTAAAACAATTTGATTCATCAAATTTTCTGCTCTGGTCGAACTAATTTGAGAATTTCTGTCAGAATTCTGATGCTGTGCTACTGTAAGCTTGACGTGTTGCCGACCGCTTTCGTTCTCGCATCTAACGAAATCCCATGGATCTTTGAACCTGTACCTGGGAAGGAGGATTGGGGCTGAGCTGCTTCCAGTTAATGGTCTAGCGACAATCTGCATCAAATCAAGGCAAAGTAAAAAAAAAAATCTGTTAGTTAAAATCTCCTGTTAGAATGGCAACTTCATTTCATTTTACCCAGCATTAGAGTTGTCCAGAAAAATAAATGTTCCTTAAAAGAACTACATGTCTTTTATTCGTTTTCAAATCTTTCCTTGGAACACTGAAGCATTTGACAATTTATTTTATATTCAACAAATATTCAATTCATACTTTATTGCACAATAAAATCGGCATATCATTTTTTTTTTTATTCATCATTTATTTTGTTTTTAATGGGTATACTTGTGGCAGACCTCTCTCATTAACAGTAAAATACATTTTCGTACATTCCCATTTTAATAATTTCAGTACATATTTAAGTATCGACCGATAATGTTGATAATTTCGATTTAGTAGGTGAATAGAGTCACATAACTTTTTCTCATCTGTATGTGCACATATTACGTGCATTACCCAGAGACCAGAACAGTACAAACTCAGGGATTATTCTTTGAATTTTATAGTAAGCTTCGAATCAAGTTGCGTGTAAAGAATATCGAACAAAACAGTAATTTTGAGTTATATTGTATAATTTTTAATTGATTCTATGATCGTATAATGTTTCCTATTTGTCACAGAATTATACAGTTTTATGTTTGCCTACACATTTTTTCTCAATAGGCCTTATGCTCTGTTGTTATACTGACATAAATCAAAATAACAAAAAAGACAGATCAAATCAGTTTCCCAACAACCCATGCATGAATAGCCAAAATACAAATATTATCCATGTACCCACAATCTAGAAATATTAATCAAGCATCTAGATTAATACACACAGGGAACTTTATAATTTTATATAAACTTATATACACACAACGTTCTTAGAGAAAATATCAATAATTGAATGAAAAATTGTCTACCAAAAATGTTCGTTGGCGAGATGTTTTTTCAAGAAGATTTTTTTCTATAGCAACTAAACATCTCACAACTTTGATCATCATTTGCACAATAGATGATGCATTTCGTCTTAGATATTAACCAATTTTTGAGAAAATATAGATTCGTCAAATTCAAATAACAGACAAAATCAAAAAAACACGTAAAAATCGATCATTTTGAATTTCAAAATGTATGAAATTGAATTTCTCAGTTGAATTTCATGCAATGAATTTTCGAGGTACGATTTTGGGAATTTCAAAAAATTTGCTACATTTCATCAGCTTTCCAGCATAAGCAGATCTAGTCTAAAATTCGAAACCAAAAAACGTGAGGTATCAGCAACAACATGAATATATTCCTGACATGATATGATGAGACCAAGCACTAGCGGATTTAGGCTTTTTGGGGGGAGGGCTCCAGTTCGAATGGTTTTTTTTTTTCATATATATAACGATAATTACTTTGGGTGAAAAAAGAGAAACTAACTACCTATATGAATGGATTTTAAGTGATATTTGAAGTCCTATTTAATGTAATTACACAAACAATAATACTTTAAGAGATAATTTTTTCCGTAAAGCATGGTTCCACTTTACCATATTTTTTTTTTGGAGATGGGGAAGGAGGGGAGGCTTCAGTCAATAATACAACAGTCCCCAACCGATTGGTGGCCGAGCGGGCTAAGCGTTTGTAAAGCACCGCACGTTGCCCGGCAACCTGCCAACCGAAATTATAGAAGATAAAATAAGTACGTGTTAGCGTCCCTGGGTCGGGGGAGGACTTAATCATTAAGGGCATTAATCCCCCGCCCTCACACCCTGACCCGAAAAAAAAAACCGTATAACCTAGAAAGCCGAGAAAGGGGAGATCAAAAAAAGTCCCTAACCAAGGCGGGTGGGGTGGTCGAGCAGGCTAACGTGTGAGAGCACACCACTGTGCGCTGTCCGACAGCTTGATAATCGAAGTTTTGAGCTAAACAAATAATTACGTGTACAAATTCCGGTACTCGGTGGGACTTTTAACTCGGCATAATTCCCTGCCCTCTCCCCCGGCCCGAGAAAAACCTCGTGTATCCTAAAAGACAAGGAAGGGGAGAGAAAAAAAAAAAAGATACCTGTGCAGAACACACTTTGTCCAGCAATCTGATAATAAGAAAATAAAGAGTTCTAGTTCCGGTACCAGGGCGTTTAACTCCGAAATAATTTGCCCACTCTCTCCCTGACCTAGGAAAAAACTGTACTGCCAAAAAAGATGAGTTAGGGGAGTAAAAGAAATAAAACTGTCCCCAACCGCACATTGACAGAAGTTTATGCTGCACAAAGATCGAGCTGGAAATGATGTCTAAGTTTGAATAGAAATTGTCTGCTGGTCCCTTTGTTTATTCTTTCTCATTTATTTTTTCATTGTCTAAAATATTATTGAAGAAATAGTTCTCCAAAAAAGCTTCTGATAGCATAAGAAAGCATGCCTCATAATGCGAGACACAATTCTAAATTCCAGATGGGAACCATTACCTCCTCACCAGTTAAAAATAACTCTACGCTGGCGTTAGCTATCTTTTCGCACTTTCTATATTTGTCTCAGGAAATTGCATTTATTAGTAGTGTGATACAAATCTGGTCTGTGAGGGCTTGTGTTCATTAATTATGAGAGCGGAGTTGGAGGAAATGTTTTGAGTTAAAAATGGATAAGTACTAATGTATGTAAGTTAAGATTATTAATTCATATTTTTTTTAATTCTAAAAACACATTTATATACAACATGATAACAAAGTTCTTTGAAAACTTCGTTGTGACTGTTTACTTTACTTGTCTTAAACCAGAAGACCAATGCCTCTCCGTTGATTTGTAGGTTGCAGATTGCTTAATAAAATATTTGTTTTATAATATATTATATCAAACTAAATTCTGGTCAAAACAAAAATAATATTTAAAATAAGTGCGTTTAAATATTGAACATATATGGTGTAAATTAGTTATAAAAGGTATTTGTTAAACAGGGGCGGATCGGGACAAACAGTTAAACTAAACTGTAAAACCTTGTTCAAATATTTTATGAAGGATTTTTTTTTCTTTGTTAATTTCTAAAACCTTTAGATATTTTATATCAGGCCATCTTTGAGGGTTTACGAGACCGTTTAGGGCCAGTTGTACAATTGGAGTTCAACTCAAGTTCAAGCTTGAACTACAGTCAACCATGAAAATCATGAATGATTGACTGTAGTTTAAGCTTAAACTCCAATTGTACAACTGGCCCTTATTCCGCTTAATCTTAAGCTGAGTCATACTGCTTAATCCGCCCCTAAGCAACAATTTAAGTTTTAACTATTTATTACAAACTTTGAGCATGTTTAGTTACTCTTCAGTACAATATTTTTCAAGGGCACTTAATGTACTTATGTACGGTGTCGTCAATAATCTCTTGTAATTTTACTGTTTATTCATGTTATAAAAACGTTTGGAATCGTTTTGATAATGTTCATGTTATCAAAATCCAACAAAAAAAAAATCTATAAATTCCAATATATTTCCATTATTATTTATTATAGTCCAAAAATATAAAAACACCACATTCCTCGCATTTTATTATTGTTGTTATGCATTTAGTTTAATGCATGCCAATTCTAAAAAACCCTAAACCTCCTCTCTCCTTCAATTTTTTAACACGGACTGTGTAACAGGAATTTATGGATTTTTTGTTGAATTTTGATAACTTGAAAATGGTTCAAAAGATTCGAAACGTTGTTATGACTTGAATAAATAGTAAACGTATAAGGGTTTTTGAAGACACTGTATATAAAAACTTTGAACTTTATTCATTCGAAGTTCGTAATATTAGTCTAGAACAAATACAAAACAACAAGCAAGCATTGGTTCACAATCATCTTATTTTGCTGGACCACTCCAAAGCGGGAACATTTAATGATATGATAATTGAAAAGATTACAGAAATTATTAGCTAGATAAAGAAATATATAAAGAAAGTTGCCATTCTAAATTATTATTGCTAGCACAAAAATAAACAAAAACTATTAGTAATGACACAAGCTTATAGAAAAATATTCTTAGCAGCTTATAAATTTTTTTTTTTTTAGTTTATGCTGTATAGAAGGTGAATTGCAGTTTGAATATATCTAATTAGTGACTCAAATATTTGAAAACTCATATAAAATATTTCTCCAATGCAAGATAATATAATACAACTTATATCGTAACAAATTGTATAGCAGCGATAAATCTGAATACTAACTACAATATTATTATTCAGGATACCGGTACTTAACCCGCAAAGTTCAGCGTTTGATATGGCTTGGTGACTTTAACAAATCGATAATTTTCGAACTTTATAGTTTATCTATTCTTATCCCCGCTCCAGTATCTTTATGCCCTTGTGATAAAAAGTGAAGAGTTTTTACATCAAAATAAGATATACTAAATAAAGAACAAGGGTTTGCAAGTGCAATGAGCAAAAATATTTTAGCAAGTGAATATTTTCTAATTTCTAGGTATCATCGAAATATTTTGAATAGCAGACTAAAATCCAGAACTGTAGAGGAGGTAGGCTAGAAGTAAAAGGAATTAAGTTTAAACAAGTTTCGGTAAACTAATTTTATCTTAGTTAATTTTATAAATAATTCGTAAGTGCCCATAAAAATCCCACATTTTTTACTAAAAACTAAAACTGAGGGAGAGGTTGATAACAAACATATATCAAAAAATCTTCTATTCGTCATACACAACCAAGATACCAGTCAAACTCTTTATGGTTGTGACGGGATTAGAATAGTTTACATTTAAAAAGAAAACAAGACATGTTATACCATCCAAAACGTATGGAAAAATACTATAACGGGAACATGGCTTGTAAAGTTTGGATATCAGTAATTCAATTTTGATAATGAACACACAAATAATTATTGATAGATATATTTTATTGAAAAATATTATATTATAAGTTGTTTGCTGAATTTTTTTTTAATTAAAAAAGTAAGTTATTTTTTTTAATCATATTTTTAAGTGTTTCAACGATTTTTAAGAATAACACACAAACAATAAAACACATGCATTTGCAATTTTTTTTTAGTCTAAGCTTGCAAATAGTGACACACTTATAGTAGAAAGAAACAGTGTTTTTTTTTTTAAAGTATCGTGCCATTTTGGTGCGGAGGAAACATAAAAGTGCACAGCAACATCAACAACAATTTTGGTGAAACACCGAGTCAACAAAAGTCAACAACAAAGTCTTACATACCATATCTTGTGTGAGCCGGCCGGCGACGTCTTCTCTGAAGATACTCCACCAAGCTCGCTGGTAGGGGGACGACGATCCTACTTGACTCTGTCTCATCCATGGTTTATTGTTACCAAGGAAATGGGCGATCTTTACTTGGCTTCCAAAGCTGAAAAATATGTATGTTTATTTTATCTCCCTTTATACTAAGTTTTAGGGTTTGATACACCTAAATCTTGATTTACAGAAAAAAAAGTTTCAAAAATATTTTTTACTGATCTCATTTTCGAAGATTTATCTATGGCAATACTCACAAGCATTCACTATTTTATTTTAAGAATATCAAAGATAATATTTTGTTTATATGGCGTTCCTTCAATGTACATATCTCATATGTTGGCAAATGTGATTTATCGCTGTGTCCATTTATTAAGATGCAATTACAGAAATTATATTTTTTTTCGATCTGTTTCAGGTACTAATTTTATACAGAATTTTCATTGGAATATTACCAGTGGGTAGTAATTTCTTCTAAAAGTCACTATCAACAGAGATTCATATGTCAACTTAGAAGATTTAATTTTTAATTCTACAATATTACCTCGGAATGTAATACGCCAAAATTCCTGACCCGGGATCGAATAAACTTGAGCCAGAAAATTTATTTTACCTTCCATTAACTGTGAACCGAATGGGTACACGAGTATATATATTTATGATGTATGAAATACTTAAAATTTTAAATATTTTTTTATTTACTGTGTTTAACGGTTGCTAAGACCATTAGCGACGATCTTTCTTCTTAAATATAACTTATCAATTTTATTTTATTGCGTTTTTCAATTTCATTGTTTTCTTTGTATGGTGCTTTGTTTTTTTCATGTCTTGGACTTTTTGCATGACTCGAATATTTATTCTATGGTCAGATTAGCATTGTCACATGTTTTATGTTGGTCGATATTGTTGGAGATGGGTCAGTTTCGAGCCTCCCATCCTGAGCCTGCTTATTACCGAACATTTTTTTTATGTTAAGTGTTTTGGAGGATACCAAGCTCGATTTTCATCTTCGGTCAAACGGAGGTGATTGAGTGGCAGTCGTCTCCACTGTTCTAATTGTCGTTTACTTTCCTAGTTATTTCCCTTGTCCACTCGTTGATAAATATCGATCCTAAAATTGGTGAATCAGTACTTCTGGCTGTTTCCTTTGCTCACTCATCGGCTCGTTCATTACCAATTATGTCAATATGTGAGGGATCCATAACAATGTTATTTCTTGACTATTTTTAAATAGTTTCAAGTTTATGAGTTGAATTTTTTTATGTCCATGTATTGGTCACAATAACTAATTTTGCGATATTGATATTGAATACATATTCAAATGTCTTCAGAATTGCCCACATTTCTCTATTGAAAATGGAATTATTGCTATTCAATTTCCATTTGTTTATACTGTTTTGGGTTACTATACAATATCTTAATTATAACTTATGAAATAATTTATCGATTATCGACTATATCTAGTTTCTTCTAGGGAAGTGTTATTCAGAAAATTGTTTAGTCCTATTTCATTTCTGCTTGATAGAATTCTCCATGTTGGGTAATACCTTATTGTCTCGGATACAATACAATATCTATATGTGTTGTAATTTCATATTCAGTGGAGTATTGTACTAGTCGATTTCTAAGAATTTCTGATCACTAACGTCATCACCTTTATACAGAATACTAAAATTATTGTGTTCTAGAATACGTAATATTTTCGCTGCATGGCGATAAACGAGAATTTTTCTTCTTAAACAGCCAGACGCCATAGGGCCTTCAACAGGGCCTGACGGAATGCCCTGAAGAAGGCCTACAACGTAGGTTCAAATTAATAGAATACACTATTATATAATATAGTATATTTTGACGAACCACCCCTCCCCACGACTAACTTATTCTGAAAAGAGAAGTTTTTCTCTGTAATTCAAGGGCAATTTCCGCTTCTTAAGTGCAGTTCTAATACTTCAATTGATTTTATTATTATTGAATATTATTATTATCCTTAAATATTTAAAAAACAAAACAAAGATACTTGATGAAAAACCACCTACAAAATGAGATAAATAATTTGCATTTTAATGGTTTGTACGCAAAATATTTATTATTTAGACGTTCCTATTTTAGCTATAAATTCCCTGTAATGTATTATATCTAGAATAAAGGTTAGTATAAAAAAGGATGTTTCGAGGTGATCTCTAAAAAAGTCTCAAAAGTAATATTAAGAAATCAATTTTTTGAGATTTCAAAATAATAAATATATACTAAACGAATGAATTGTTTATTAAACGGAAGTATCCCTCTCACTACACGTAGATTTTTGCAGAAGCTCGGTGTTGGAAGCAGATGAAGACCATGACAGAAACTATTATTTTTCTCTTTAGGAATCCTCCATCACCACATAATTGATCTTGGCCTTTATGTGTTTGATTATTTGAACCGTTCTTGGCATGTTTGTTGTGTATTCCAATGTTCCAACCTAACTCTCTTTTAATATTTTTGAATATTATTGGTTGATTGATGAGTATGCAGTGTGGTTTAGCAACTCAACATGTTTGAGCAGCCGTGCAATATTATTATTGTACTTCTCTTTATACAGCTTCTTACAGAATAAATAAAATAAAATGAATATTTTAGCTCTATGAGTTATGTGCTATATACCATTGAAAGTTTATCGAAACTGCTTTTGAAATGTAAGGAAATGAGATGTACTTTGATGCAGGGATGACAGCAGTAATTGATAGATTTTTGTTTTTTTAATTTTTTTCTAAGGCAGGGTGAACCTGCTTTCGCAATATTTCCAAGTACATTTGTTATGATAGGATCATATAACATTATTGATCCAGCCTTACTACATCAGCTGTTTATAATAGATTATATGAAGCCTTTCTTGGTCTATAATCGGTTTGATCTACTAGTATACTAGATTTAATTTCAGCAGATTAAAGGAGGTTTTTATATGTATATCGTAATATAAATTCTAACATCGTCCAATTTATTTTTCACAAATTTACAAAGAATTAAAAAAAAAAATCTCAAAGAGAAAAAGAGACATTTCAAATAAGAACGAAAACAATCTAATGGATTTTAAAGAATAATATAGCGGCGCATAATCGGCTCAGCGAGAATTGCAGAGATTGAAATCAAAAAGATGAAGAACTTGACGACCTTTAGGGGACGTAAACGTGGTTTGATTCAACAAGCTTGGGAGGCGGAGTTGGGCTGGTCACGTTATCAGGATAATATGAGGGGGCAAACCCGAGGAGAGTGTTGGTGGAGGAGGTCCTTAATTAAACAAGAAGAGCTGACAGGCCGAGACTTAGGACTCAAGAAGCCTCTTAGTGATTCGGGAATGGAAGGCGGCAGCACTGGATTTGGGACGGCCATCGATTGTCGATAATATCGATATTTTTCTTCCAACATTCAATATTTTACCATCCATGGCATCTACTTCGAACTTATCCACTAACGATTTCGTCTCTACGATAATTTAATATATTAATTTAAAAATAAAAATTATATCTATCGTTTACGAAAAGTTCTAGGAATTGTATATGAATCAAATCGTTAGGGGAAAAAATATACTCATCTTGAGCGTTCTGATATAGAGTATAAGTGAGTAGTAAGCTGAATCCTCAGATGGACAAAGATGCACAGGAAATCGATTTTGCTAAGGAGGGTTGAAGAATTGATATTAACATTAATTAATTTAAAGAGGAAAATAACATATTTTTTGAGCACCGATGTGCTAGACCATCAATATTTATATACATTCATATTTCAAAATATTTTTGACTCGCAAGCAGCAATCCTCGCTATTACTGACGCGAATAAATGTCTGTCGAGTGCTATCTTGGAGTGCAAATCCCTTCTCTACGATCTAACATGCCATTGCGGTATTCCAGGAAATGAGGAAGCGGATAGTCTCGCCGGGAGAGGAGCAGAATTGCCTCAGTCCTTCCAAAATCTTACGATTCAATCCGACGAATGTTGAGGGTGGTGAAGAAGGAAACAAAAAATATGCACAAAGACAAGCTGGAAGGGAGACGTTATGGATGTTTGGTGGAAAATCCGATCCCAGCAGACCTACCAAGAGATGCAGTAGCCTGCTTCGCCTGGCCACTGGCCACGACTATCTACAAAGTCATCTCCACAAGATAGGAGTGGCTGAGGATCCTAGGGGTAAATTATGTGAGCAAGCGCAAAATGGAAACCACCTAGACAAATGTCCTGCTCTGATGGATCTTATGAATAAAACATATGTGAATGATTATATAAAAAAATGAAACTTATACTGGGCAGCAAGATGTCGGATGGCCGAATGACCAATGACTATGGCATAAGAAAAAAAAAATTACTGTTTTTTCAAAAATGTTTATAATACCGATGAAAATGTTGATTTTGGATAATATTGATATTTCAAGCTCGATATTTAAAAGGTATCGATAATTATAGGCCGGTATTTCTATCGATGAAAATATCAATATTGGGCCTTCGATATCCACACCTACACTGGACTGAGTTCTTGAGGTGGCCAAGATCCATCCCGGATTGGAGAGGCACATAGAGAGGTAGAATTCTAATTAAAATATAAGTAAAATATAATATTGTAAAATACAAACAACATACTTACTGTTTTAATGCTGGAAGGTAAGAATATGTTGCCGAGGATACCACATTGTAAATGAAAGGCAGATGTTTGCGAATGTCTCCTGTTGCCCAGTCGCTGAAGAACATATTGAGGAGACCCTGGTCACCACCTGAAACACGTAGATCGTTCCTCGTTGCATAAATCTGAGAATTCTTTATTTATTAAAATTGTTTTTGGTAATATTTTTTTTATTATTGGTTATTATGTAACATTAACAAATGTTACATTTTAAAGACTCCGTGAGAATATATCGATGTATGTATTACAACCATAACTCATCAGGTGATGCAGTTCTTACATATTTTATTAAAGAATAATTCACTAGATGTCTTACAAAATGTTTATAAATCTAATCCAAAATTATTGAAAATAATAAACCAAAAATATTTAAAAACCTCGATATCTTTACTAATAACGCTCTGATTTCGATGAAACTTTTTTTGTTTGTTTTTAGAAAATTCAAATACCTTTGAAACACTTACTTATAAAAATTACAAAAAAGTGTATACTTCTTGAGTTATTCGGAAATGTGATCTTATCGCTCCTCGTAACTTTTTTTCCTAGCTTCTCTTCGTTGAAGTATAGATAAATTTTAAGGTCATCGATGAGAAGAATTTAGGCTACTTTCAATGAAATTTGTACATTCGTTTAGGCGCTACAGTCTAGTCTATACCAACACAGTTTTTCCGGGAGACATCTTGGAATGAAAGGGCGTATAGTAATGTCGAGGTAGGAGGATCATCCTTGGGTGACCTCAGACTTTGATTCCAAATTTGAAAAAAATCGGTAGCCTCGGAGAAAAGCCACGGGCGGCATTCTACGTATCGTGAAACGCAAAACCTCAAACTTTGAGGGGAGGAGAGGAGGTTAAATTCTTGTTTTTTTTTGGACGATTACAACGATCAAAAACGTTTGGAGGCCGCAACTACGTCACTAAGTCTACATGGTTTAACCAAATCATCAAGTAGGGAAGGGAACCAATTTCAAAAATATGATTATTTTTTAAATATACAATCTTATTATTTGTGGCAAGGCTGATTGATTGATAATGAATACAATTAAATTGTTATAAAGGTAATTATTATGCCGATATGACAACCTAGTTCATTCTGTCACCTAATGAATCTTTTTCAGAATGAAAATGTCTAATAAAAAAAAAAAATTCAGAAGTTAGTCGGAGGTGCGGTCAATATATAAAATATTATATTACATAACAGTACGTTCATATCATTATCCAACATTTCGACCTACGTTGTAGGTCTTCTTCAAGGCATTCCGACTGGCACTGCAGGAAGCAGTAGGGAGACTCTCACAGGTGAATGCCCTGAAGAAGACCTAAATCAAACATCTCCACACTATTAAAAATATATATTTATTCAGTTACTTAAAACATTTTATCATATATTTATTATTATAACTTAACTCAATTAAGAAATGAATACCAACAAAATCCTGCTGCGTCATCTATTCTTCAATATTTCCCGACCGTATCATTCATAAATAATTGGTACCTGAATGATCAAAATGTTCGTCTCGTGTATAAGTATTTGACGAATTGTTTTTAAATTATTTGTTTAAACAAAAATTACTTTGTTGAACTTACCATCGAAGCTTCCATGAGTTACGGCGAAGTCCAGGAGGGCTTTGAAGGTTGCTTCTGAGGGGACGAAGACGAAGACTCCTGAGTTGAAGCAATCGGGCCAGCCTGGATCGGGAGCTGCAGACAGTTCTTCTCTCTCGAAAAGTTCATCGCAATTCTGAACTACCTGAGGCAACGTCAATACAAATTTAGATCATAGTAAAAAGGTTTCTGTCGAGGGGCGGGGTGGTCGAGCGGGCTGAAGCTTATGCAAAGCACAGTGTTGTCCCACAACCTGATAGAAGATAAATTAATAAAACAATTATGAGTTCGCGTCGCGGTGCCGAAGGAGCTTATAACTCTGGTATTAATCCTCCACCTTCATCCTCTGGTCGGTGAAAACCTCGTATTGACTGAAAGTCGAGGAAGGGGAGGCCAAAAAAAAAAAAAAAAAACGAAAAAAAAACGCTTGTTTTAAAATATACATGTAATATTTTCTATTTCATTGATTGAATCAATGAATTTCTTGAATGAATTTATACATATTTTCTAAGAACATTGAACTTCAGTAAATAAATAAGTGCATATAGTTTGGCAGCGATTTGATACCTTATTGCTATAATATTCATTCTTTTTTTTTTTTTTTTTTTAAACTTTCTTTATTGAATATTAATATATTCTGCCACATTGAAGGCCATTAATATTAAGGCTACATGATTCATTCACACAATATGTACATACAATTAATATCAATAATAAAGAAAAAGAAATATAAAAAAATAAAATAAGTAAATTGGTATGCCTGTGTACAAAAAAAATAATGAAATAATAGATAAAAGCTAGATGAAATTAAAGTAAATAAATCACATTCACACCTATGTACAATATTTACATTCACCCAGGGGACTCTGAGTCATGCCTTATGCCCGACGTGGAAGCCAAGGCAGGACTCCAGGAGATCCCAGTGCTTCTCTCTCAGCCGCGTCACTGTTATAGGTATTCATTCTAATTGATAGGAATTAACTCCATTCTAGAACTATAGAGCATAATCAAAAAGGAAAAAAAAAATAACAGAATTTAATAACTATAACTTCCAAATTTTGCCAAAACGTCTTAGAATTTGAGGCGAAAATAAAATCACGTTTCTTTGTCATTTTTATTCTTAATGTAAACCGAACGCAATACTTTGGAGATTACGTACTGTACACCAGACAATGTCATAACGATATAAAATTAATACCGCAATTCTTGTTCAACAGATTAGCTACTTAAGGATAACATCTGAACAAACGTTTCACTTGAAATCCTCATACAAGACTGGAACGACAAGAAACTGCTCGACATTTCTGGTTGCTTCAACACTTAAGAGACAAACGCTCTAGGCTTTCAATTAATTACAAAAGGCTCAATTACATGACTATAATAAGGCCTAATGGAGTTGAGCTATGGAACTCCACCACAGGGGTGCCCTAGTCCCCCACCTCTCCAAAAAATTATATTGCTTTCATATTCTAAAAAAACAGTATAAGCGAAAATTTTAAAAATCGTAAATCATATACAATTACACATCCTGCAGTCTGTTCATTGATTTCCCTTGTCTTTTGCCTTGAAAATGTTCATTTAAAAAATGTATAACCCCGTCGAAATGTGCCCCCGAAATAATTCTAAACTCCATAAAAATGTGCCCCCTCTCTGCAACAAAATTTTTAATGCCGCAAGTAAGAATCAATCGCTGAAATTATTTACTGATGATTATGACAAGCGTTTAACTAAAGTCGTGTTTAAATAAGAAACTGCATTGATGACTGTAGTTACCAAAGTGTCCGCATCGAGGAAGACACACTTGGAGAACTGGACCAGCCGCCAGGCGTGCAGCTTTGTGAAGGTGATCCCCAGCTCCGGGCGGGACATGAGTGCCAGGTGGGCGGTGTCCCCGCTGTCCAAGGGGTCCACGGCAACCACCAAGTTGAAAACGTGAGCCAGCTCCTCTCTGCAACATTAAATAAGTAATAAGTCTTCATACAGATCATGGCCCTCCCCAACAAAATGAAGTCCGTGGATCTACTATAGCCTACTATACAAAATGGATTCTGTATTCTCGTAACGCAAACTTTCTGTCAAGTTAATATTCTGTTTTGAATGTATCAGTTAAACATTATAGGAGACAACTGTCAGCCTCTGAAAACAAAAAAATTGAATAGTACTTTTTTTATAGAATTTCACAAATTTGATCCTGTATAAAACAAACTTGTGTATCTCAACATCAGGTAAACTTAAACAGTGTTTACCAGGTCAGAACAACGTTCACATGCGGTCTGGATGCCGCAGGTTTCCACCCTATGGTATAGAGTTACTAGGTAGACGACAAGATGGGACATGGGTCGGGATATAGATTAAAACTAATTTCTCTTATGAATAATAGACAATTTAAGAAAATATATGAATAGGGTCACACTTGTTGTAGGCGAGAAACAAAACTGAGTATTTGAATATCTTAATTCTGAAAATGATTTACCGTTAAAATATATTCCTGCTGGCCTACATGTGCGTTTAGACATTTCACAAACTATGGCACAAACAAATATATATATATATGTTTGTTTTTTTATTTAACGACTTTTAAAACATTAGCCATATGTCGTCACCAAAAATAAGACTTTGCCATCTTATTCTATCCTGCCAATCTTCTTCACGTATACCTCCCTCATACCAGGTTCTCCAGGGGCGACCTTTCTTCCGTCTTCTTTTCCGTTTCCAATTCCGAATTCGCTTTGGCCATCGCTCCTCTTCCATCGTCATCACATGCCCATACTACTTGAATCTTATATTTTCAATGGTATGGAGAATATTCTCCATTTGTTCGACTCATTTCGTTATTTCGCTGTTTGGAACTTTTTTAAATGGTTATTTCACTATAATAGCTTTTTGTTTCTTGTCTTTGATATTTTCCATCTGTTGTAGGTGTCAAGAAAAATAAAATAAACAGTTTGGTTTAGCAATAATGTAATTTGTAGTTAACTTAGATAATTGTGCTTTCCATAGTTTGTGAAATGTCTAACCGCACCTTAGCGATACTTACTTCATCTTCTGAGAGACATCCGGTGTAATGAGAACGACGGTCTGCTTCGAGGTGGCCACCCTCCTGAGGGACCTCCCCAGCACCAGGGCACCAAGCCCGTAGGTGTCATTGGTGGCCAACGTCACGAACGCCTCATCTGCAACAGGAATAATGTGTTACTGACAATAGGTAATGATATAATATCATCAAAGATAGTTTTAAATGAACATTAATATTGAAGGAAGTTCAGGAACTAAACTTAATTAAACAATTTTGGGACATATCCGACAACAATAATCAGGAAATTGTTTTGTTTTTTAATAGAGTTAAGTTCTGTTATTTACCTCTACTTTGGCAAGGTTCTAGAGCTACAACCAAACTTATCCTAACCAGAGTAAGAGGTCGAAATTCATTCTGTGGGTTCGCCACGAAAATTTATTTCAACCCGCTCGAAATTTTCCTCAGGGAGAAGCTAACATGAGTTGACTTGCTGGCATTCATTTTCCATTTTTGAAACCATTTTTCAAAGTCGTGGAGGTGATATTGAAGCGCTAATAGGATTTTTGTGAGAAGAAAGAATTGCCGTATCGTCAGCGAAGCAATAGAGAATGGTAATATGATGCTCAGGACTATCAGATGTATAGAGAGAAAAGAGAAGAGGCTGAAAACATTTCCTTATGGTACGCCCGCAAGTTGAGGAATCTGCCGGAAAAGAACCTGTCAAGAAAGAAAGATTGAAGTATCAGGAAGTAAAGTTGAAGGAATGTGCAGTTTTATTTTTCTATAATAAACCTTTGTGCCAGACGCTATCAAATACATTTATAATTATATAGATACACGAAAATAATCATTAATAGATCAATAAAGTCGGTTTGTTTATTAATTTCGGCTTGTAAGCGGTTTAAGTTGACCACTCAGAATAGACATAGACTGAGGCTCTGAGATAACTTAAACTTATTCGGATAAATTTGGCTCGAGTAGACTTTTATATTTGGATTAAAATATCTCAGAAGCTAAATATTCGACATACACACTGTAAGCTAGTAAAATGCTCAGCATTCCATCCTCTTTGTAATGAGCTATAATTCGAAATTATTTTGGAGGTACATCGTGTTAGAGAGTCGAAAAGAGAAAAAAGTGCCAAAAAAATAAATAATAACGACTGTTTTGAACATTTGAACTAAAATATCCAAAATTTAAATACCGTGGAAAATTCAGAAACCTATTTTCTGAAGTCAATATAGATTTTTTAAAAATTAGTTTAAATACAGGAGAGAAACACTTATTGTATTATAATTGTATTTATTACTAAAAAAGAGCATAAAGCTAGAAAATAGACACAAGGTGATTATGACATAAATGGAAAAATCCATACTACAAAACCATGAATCTTCAACAAAAAGGTGAATAGTTAAAGGAGAAACGTTGGAGATTCAAGGCTTTGCAGTATGGATGTTTCAATTTATACATTAATTGTATGTATTGTACATATTGTACATTGTATAATTGTATGTACAATAATTGTAAATATTAGTACTTTGTTGATTTAGCACAAAAAAAAATTATGTCATATTATCAATCACGTATTTTGATGTTTTAATTTCTATCGTATGGTCATAAGCAGACACTGTAGTTTTTTTTTCATTACCATTTTTAAACATAGGTTTTTGAAATTCTTAAACAGGTATGTGTACCTTAATCTACATTTTTTAAATCAAACAAAAAAAATCCGTTGTAGAAATCGAGCAGTCAAGCAGCCAGTTTAGACAGCGATATCTGGCGAGTTACGGAAAAGGAAATGAGTCCTACAAGATAGAGGGGCGATAGTAACACAACATCATTCTGTCTGCAACAAACAGGCTATATTCAACTTACCTTAAAAATGTAAACATTTAAAATTCACAAATACTATTTTTGAAAAACTGTATAGAATATTCATCAAACAATAAATTGTTGGTTTGAGACTAATCAAACAAAAAAAAAACATCTTTAATGTTTTTTAAAAAAATATGAAATCCTTCAGGTTAAAGTAGCTTAAAATAACGACAAAAACATTTTGTCTTGAGGGAAATTCTAATTCGGATATCTTTGATTCATTATATCTTGTCTTGTCCAATAAATAGCGCCTGTTCATTTCAGAATAAATGAAAGTATTTTCTGAATACAAATATCAGGGAAGCACTGGCCTTGTGCCAACCAAACCAGAAGACAGTTAGTTTCAAGAAATGTTTAAGTAAAACTCAAATAATTTCTTAAACAGAGAAAATTTTCGATCATTGAAGAGGAAGAGGGTAAGTGGGTTATTATATTTGGAAGATAGCTCAAGGCTGGAATACCACAGAAATACCCACGTAATCATGAGAGGTCCCGTCATTGGGATTATATTTGTTAGTAAGGCTGAAACATGAGCCCCTTGGCCTCCCACCGAGGAAGGGGAAGCCTCCTATTAATTAATCTAATTAATAAAAGAGTCGACATCTTAAATCAATAACAACTCAAGAAAATTACTGTAATAAAATGCCAAGAAAGGTGTGTCAGAGGAAGTTTTGAGACAGATATGTAATGAACATTTCATAATGTTCTCATATTAAACATGTTCTTAACATTTGAAAGACTAAAATCATAGAATCGATAGAACATCTCAAGAACAACTAAAAATTTCTAGTAAGAATTTTTTACTCAGGAAACAAACAGTAATAACATATTCAAGATTTAATTTTTTTTTTGGGGGGGAGGGGTTGCGTTCAGCCTATATTTCCCTCGCTGAGTATCCGCCATTAAATAATTCGTTAAACCTGTTCAAAAACGTTAGTTTTCTTTATTTTCAAATTTTCATTATATAAAAAGTTGACTTGGATCAATTTAAAGAATTGATGTGCAGAAAAACTGTTTATGAATCAGGTAAAAAAAATAATGATACATAAACATTTATGTATTCAAGAACGTACAGAAAAACTATACATTAACGAAGTAAAAAATAAATATTTATTTATCGAAATTCATGTTATAGTAGGAAAAATAAATGATTTTTTTTTTAATGAACCACAACAAAATTTAATTAGGTGATTTATTATACTGATCGGAAAAGTACAAATAAAAAAATAAAAGTTTTGTAATGATTTAAGAAAAAACTAATGAGCATAATGTTTAAATAGATTAATTTGTTCAATATGAATAATAAAACATAATTGATTTTTTTTCTAAATATAGGAAAAAGATCTGTTTACACTAATTTAATGTAGCAGCATGGGCGTACGCAAGAATTAAGGGAGGAGGGGGGTAGCGGACCCTCTCCTAAATAATTTGAAATAAAATAAAATATAATATAATAAAAAAGGTTTTCCGAGAATTCGAGAAAACAAGTTCTTTTAAATTGTTGTTTTATTTATAAATTGAATTTCATATAAATATATTTATAATTTGTAAAATAATAATAATAAACTTAATAAAAATAAATTTTCCTTCTTGAACCCCTAATATGAAAGATGCGTATGCCCTTGTGTAGCAGATCTTTTGTCCAGAAAAAATATTTATTTTATCTAATAAATGATATTTTATATGAATATATAAAATATATGAATATAACTGATTTAAAACATGTTTCACTAAATGGTGTAATTTTTATTTTATCAAATAAATGTTGTTTTCTTTTTAATTTTAAATAGCTATGATACTATGACTTCTTGATACTATTTTTATGATATGATATGATGATATATTTTTTCTATTATTATTTTTTTTTTTGGCAGCTGCTACATATAAAAACTACAAATGAAATAGCAAAACATATACATAATCCTGGCATTAATCTCCCGCCCTCTCCCCTGGCTCGAGAATAATCCCGTATAGGCTAAAAGTCTAGGAAGGGGAGGACAAAAAAAAAATATATATATATATATTCGGAGTATTTCGTAATATTCTAAATGAGGATACATTTATATTTTATAAGAAATATTCGTGACCGCTTTTAAAACAAATCATGATTTTTTCCCCATGTTTTTCTAATATTAAATATAGTAGTTTCTATACATTTTTTTAAAATTTACAATTATCGGATTGGATTCTATGAAAAATACAATTGAGCTATATAATATACCTTTGTTCTCGATTTAGACCATTGAGGGAGGAACAAATATTAGAAACTTGATAATCAACTAATCACCAGTTTGGCCACAAAACAAGAAACCAACTACTATTTCCCAAGACAACTAAAAAGGGTCAAAATATTTTTAAAGATCCACTGAATGACATTGGCTTCATACGGCTTGGCATGGATTCCAACCTGTTTGGCAAAGTATACGATCAAAACTCAGCATTTCCTTACAACGGGTTGTTTGTCTGCGTTCACTTTGGCTAATTTGTCAATTTGGTATTTATGATACTTTCCTACATGAAATACTAAAGAACAATAACAAATTCAGTTATTAAAGTAAAATCAATTATCCGAATACAGCTAATCTTTATATTTGTACCATATTTCCACAGAACCATGACCTCTAAACATTAAACTTCAATAATTGTTTCAAAACTTTTTCTTTATATTGTATAATTAAACTTGTTTTAAAAACTAATTTATTGAGAAATATTACAATCTGTCACAATTAAGAAAATTTAAAATATTGTTCAGAGAGAAATATTCACATTCTATTTACAATAAATAATACAGACTTAAACTAATTAAAATAACAACTTAAACACGAGCATACTTTAATACAATCTTTACGAAATCCATTCACCGAGCCAAGCCTTCCTCTTCCTCGTGAATGGAAAGGCAGGACTCTAGGAGATCCCAGCGCCTCTCACTCAGCCGCATTACTGGTATTAAGGACCAGTAGATCCTGAGCAGAGGTTCTATAATCACACATACATGGCTTGAGTGGAGAATCTGGCCATTGCCAAAACTCCAATATATGATTTTTCACAAAAGGTCTCTGGGCCACTGCCGTTTTAATCTTCGAATAGAATTGTAAGGATTGATGGAGCTAGATAGAGATCACAGGCGGATCAACGGAGGGGAAGGGGGGGCTTTCGACCTGAAGCCCCCCCCCCCCCCAAAATGGTAAAATGTAACCATGTTTTACAGAAAAAAATATTAAAAACTATCTCTTAAAGTATTCTTGTTCGTGTAATTACATTTAATAGGACTTTAAAAACCAC